AAAAGAGGTAAAATTAAAAAAGAAAAATAAAATAATTGCTAAGATATGGAATCAACCCAGATGTCATCATGAGATGGAATATTACCCAGCCATAAAAAGTGAAAATTTGTCTACTGAACAAAATAGATACAACTGGAGACCATTATGCTTAGTGAAATAAGTCAGTCTCCAAAAAAACAAATGTTTCCTCTGATTTGTATTAATAAAAAATGTAATATATATGAGTGATACTGACATTTTGAAATTTGACTGTTTATATCCCTCATCTATACTCATGGGGAATAGTGATTCTTCAATTTACTATTTGCCAAACTTTTTATTTAGTGGAGGGTGAAGCTTGTGATGATAAAGAAAATTCAAAGTATGTTACTGTAAACATTAAAAGAAAAGTAAGAAGGAGGGAATATGGACCCGGTGTGATGGCACAGTGGTTAAGGTCCTCGCCTTGCATGCCCGGGATCCCATATGGGCACTGGTTCTAATCCCTGCAGCCCCGCTTCCCATCCAGCTCTCTGCCTGTGGCCCGGGAAAGCAGTTGAGGATGGCCCAAGACTTTGGGACCTTGCACCCGCGTGGGAGACCCGGAAGAGGCTCCTGGCTTCGGATCAGCATAGCATCGGCTGTTGTGCTCACTTGGGGAGTGAATCATTGGATGGAAGATCTTCCTCTCTGTCTCTCCTCTCTGTATATCTGCCTTTCCAATAAAAATAATAAAAATAAATCTTAAAAAAAAAGAAGGAGGGAATATGCGAGTAAGGAAGGGAGGGTATGGGTGTAGTGTTATGCTCTTAAAGCTGTATATGTGAAATACATGACATTTGTTCTTTTCGTAAATAAAAATAAAATAATAAAAATAAACAAAATAAACTGCAAAAGAGTTTTCTGAAAGAGGTACAATTAATGTCATTTGAGACATGATGCTAGATCTATACGGATTATGAAATGTCTGAGATTTCACAACTAGTAATAAGAGTAATAAGCTTGGGTGGGAGGCAAGTGAGTTTGACCTTGGGGCTTGCATGGATGGACCTCCTGGCAGCATGCTGGCTGCTGGGGGAATCTGAGCCAGGTCAGACTCAATGCTTGGTGCCCTAGCTCCAGCCACTGCTGCCAAGCAGTGGGCAATTCTGTGGCTTGCCTGAGTTAGAGTGCTATCGGCTCTGGGCTTTGCATGCTGGCTGCCCTGTGGCGAGCTCTGGGGTCTTGACGGGGTGGAATTACTGCTTATGGCATTGTGCTTGGAGTGGTGAGATCAGCAGTAATTTAGAACTGTTGAACTATCAAAATCTCTTGATCAGGACCCCCAGAGCACATCCCACTTCAGGGACTCTGGGGTGGTGTTGGGTGGCTGTCCTCTATCCCAGGGTGCTGAGGTGTTTGGGAGGCTGGGTGTGGCTTCTCTTCTTATCTCCTCCCTTTCCCCAGATACAGGAAGGAAAAAACGAGAATGGAAAACAATGTTCTCACCTACCTTCCTGTAGTTCCTGACCCTTTCACCCTAATCAACTATGTTAAGAAAATCAAACACTAAAAATAATTATTTAAAAAATAAGAGAAGTAAGCTGCTTGTCTCTAGAGCTTGTTTTCACTGAACCCACATGTAACGCTAATAAATTTGAAAACAAAACAGTACAACACGTAGTAAATTGTGTAAGTAACAACTGGGGCTGGGGAAGGTGACATGATGGCTCAGTGGCTAAATCCTTGCCTTGCAAAGACCAGGATCCTATATAGGCACTGGTTCATGCCTGGCTGCTCCACTTTCCATTCTGCTCCCTGCTTGTGGCCTGGGAAAACAGCAGAGGATGGCCCAAAGATTTTGGACTCTACCCATGTGAGAGCTTAGGGGGAGCTCCTGGCTCCTGAGTTTGGATTAGCTCAGTTATGGCCATTGTGGCCACTTGGGAAATGAACTAGCAGATGGAAGATCTTTCTGTCTCCCTTCCTCTGTGTAAATCTGCCTTTCCAATAAAAATAAATAAATCCTTTTTAAAAAAAAGTTATAGCAGGAACACTGTTAGGAAAAACCAGTAGGGAAGCCTTCACAGATGGGTGTAGCTCCACTTAGTGAGCATTAGAAGGGTAGCCATCATGGAGGAAGAATGCAGCAGGGACCATAGCTCCTGGATCTAGGCGTACAGAAACAGCCTATTGTACCTTCTTCTGGGGAGCTACTTCTTACTCTATTGAACTACAGTAGGATTTCTCTAGTAGGGGCTGTCAATCATGATATCCTCGACTGTCCAGACAGTCCAAGTCATTAGGAGTTAGGAATTTTTGAGCTTGGGGTAGAGGATTCAGTGCTTTCTGTCCTAAGGACAAAATCAAGTAACACATGGCTTTGGCCAGTCGAGTGCTTTTCTTTGGGAAATCATATGTTACAGAGGAAAAGACGGCCAAACAAAGGATTGTAGTCTCCAGGCTAGTCGCACTGCTGATTCTCCTGTAATCACTAGTTTTGCAAAACCTAATTAGGTTTGGTCATCTATTCAAATTCTGATCATCTCTCTCCTGCTACCAGCTGGACTAGGAACAGCACTGCCATTCCCTACTCCTCTACAACTTGAATGATAGCATAAGACACATAATTATGAAATAACCTTTTTGATTCACTCTACTTTGGAAAAACAGCATTTAGGACATCCATCGTACAGACATTGTGTGGCTTAAAGTGTTTCTGTAGTGCTACCCTCCTCATGTCAACTATTTTACTCCCTCACTTCCCATATCACTGAAACCTTTCTAAATCTTCTCCAGCTTTAGTTCTTAAGTCAATCTGGAAATTCTACACCAAATGTTCATTTTTTTAACATAAAAATGGTATTTAGCATTAAAAATTACAAATGAAAAATTAGAGCCACCTTAATTTTACCATTCAAAAATGTTATTGATATATTCTAATGTACCTGTTTAATATTTTGTTTTATTTCTTTGTAAACTTTAAAAAATTATTAATTTTGTTTTTTTAAACGATTTTATTTATTTTTATTGGAAAGGCAGATATACAGAGAGGAGGAGAGACAGAGAGGAAGATCTTCTATCCAATGGTTCACTCCCCAAGTGGCTGCAACAGCTGGTGCTGCACCTACTTGAAGCCAGGAGCCAGGAGCTCTTCCAGGTATCCCACGTGGGTACAGGGTTCCAAGGCTTTGGGCCATCCTCGACTGCTTTCCCAGGCCACAGGAAGGGAGCAGAATGAGAAATGGGGCTGCCGGGATACAAACCAGCACCCATATGGGATCCTGGCTCATGCAAGGTGAGGACTTTAACCACTGTGCTATCGCGCTGGGCCCAAAAAATGACTAATCATGTATTTTTCATCTTTTATTCACATTTACAATTAATTTTAAAATTGAATTGTATTTCCTTTGCATTATTTTCCAATGATTTCAATGTTCTGTACTGAAAAAAATCAGTACCTTTGACAGTACCTAAGTTTTCAAGGAAAAGGGAAGCAATTTCACAATATCTAGAATGCTCTTTCTAGCTTGTTTCACATAGAAAATCTCTGGGATGTTGGATCCAATCTAAAGTATTTTTTGTTATACTTGTAAAATTTGCAGTTTATTCTTAATGTTTGACATTACCCATATCTATAGGACTTCTTGCTCACTATTGTATCTTCAATGCTTAACACAAGTGCCTGAGCCTTCACAAGTTTTACATTAAAGAATGACTGTGAAGAATAGTTCACCTGCAAGAAAACGCTTTATTTGTAAAACACAGCCCTATTTATCCAGTGCGATGGCGTGCTGGCACTGCTAAATCCTACGTATGTCTGTATCACTACATTTCCACCAGCCCGGGATGCATTTGCTTCCATTTCACAAAAAAGGAAACTGAAGTTTCAGAGAAGTAATAGATTTGCCCAGAAATAAGGTTTGAACTTAGGTCAACGCATTAATTTACATTATTAGCTTTATCTGCCACTACTGGCTATTTAATCATGAAAACCATTAGGTGCAGCTTATTTGCAAAAATCACTGCATTTATACATTAAAAATTGGTTCTTGTTATATGTCAAAGAAAGGCACTTGGCGAAAGAGGCTAAGAAACTGGATAATATTGGGAAAGGCAAACCCACAAAAGTCAGCAAAATAATAATAATAATAATAATAATAATAATAATAATAATAAAAAGGGAGGGAAGCAAAGCTGAATAGGGCCTGAGACAATCTAGTCCAATTTCCTTGTTTTATAGCTCAGAGTCTAAATAGCTTGTGTAATCCACAACGTGGCACAGCTGTACAGCCAACTCTGAGTCATGCTACCCCTCCTTGAGCAAATATTTACTCCAGCGTCTACTGTATCAGGCATTCAGCAACATTGAGTTTGTTTCCTATTCAGCATTGATTTTGGCTTTTTCTCTTCCCTAATATTTTTCACTGACTCATTTTTAAAAGGGACCTTAGATCCTAAGTCCAGTACAAGCCTGGTGTCAAGCACCGAAGTGGCGTGACCCCGGTCAGCAGCTGGTGGCCTGGTGATCTGAGATGGCAGTGACGCCATGGACTAGAGGAGTCACTCCCGCATAAGCAGGGCATGTGGGGCGAGCCAGAAGGGGGTGAGGCTGTGTTTCTGAAAGACTGACTTTCCAGTGACTCCACAAGTAAAGCCACGGGAGGAAGCTCTTTTTGATGCGTGGCGTCTACGCACTTGGCTTGCGCTCGGTGTGACTGGAAGGCTCAAACACCCTGCCGGGTCTCAGTAGGGTAGCTCCAACCCGGGTTTAATCATCTCTTCCCTGTTCCAGCTGCAGTGAGACAGACGTTTTTTACCTGGGCAAAAGGGACACTTTCATCACCGCCCCAGGTCAGCGCATTCGGTCCCAAGGCCGGGTAGGGTCAAGTTCCTTTGCGGCGCCAAAGCCAGGCCCCAGCAGACGTGCTGACACGCGAGGACTTCTGGACAGACAGCAACCAATCAGCACCAGCCATACACCAACTCCAGCCAATCAGCACCTGTCTTATTCCTGGGTGCCTCCCGGGCCGGCCTTTTCTCCCCACCCCTTAGCCGGCTCCGGTAGTCGCGGCTGGAGCTCCAGCTGTCTTCAGAGCTCTCGTGCGTCTGGGGACCGCCCCACTCTGGCGCCCTTGGGTGTCTTCTGTTTCCTTCACTGAGAATGAGTCGCTGCGCTGCTGTGTGTCGACCCCGCGGAGACCACCGGCGCAGTTTCATCTAGCGACTGGTGAGGGAGGGATCGGCGCCCAGGGGTGCTGAGGCGACCGCGTCCGGGCACCCCCGGGGACCGCGGGAGAATGTTCGCCTTCCGGAGGGTGCGGGTGGCCGCGGACGCAGGGAGGACACTGCCCGGCGCCGACGATGCGGGGCGTCCAGCGAGGCGCCGCGGGCCCGGCCGAGTGGCCCGGGTGTGTGCGGCCGCCTCTCCACCGCCCTTCTCGGCTGATGAATGGCTCGTCCTGCGGGACACACCCTCCTGCCTTGTGGTGGCTTCGGGTCCCTCCGAACCTAGACTTTGAAGTGTCTGGGGTTCGAGCGTGATTCTTAACCCCTTGGTGGAGCCGAAGTTTGAATCCGCGCTGGGGACACTCAGTGTGCTTCAGCCGAGTGGAAACAGACTCCCAAAAAAGGGACGGGCTCTTTTTTTTAAGAGGTGGGGGATGAAGGAGGGAGGGGGCGGATCAGAAGCTGGAGAAAAGATTGTGCTTGTGTCTAATTTAGAGCCGTCAGGTTCAAAAAGGAGTTTTGGCACAGTTGAATAGGTCCCTGAGTAAATCCTGTTTTCCCGTGTAGTTCCTTGAAACTTAAGGAATGTTAGCCAGAGGGGATGTTTTTAGGGAGCAGAGGTTGGTGTAACATGTTTCTTTACTCCTCCAAGCTGAGTGTTTGAAATTCGAAGTGTATCAGAAATACTGAAAAAGTGTGACTGCCGAGTGATGCTGTTTTCTGTACCCATAATGTGGTGCAAGTTTACAGACTTGAACAGCCCTTTCTTGATCCTTGCTGTCCCTTTTTCTCTTGAATTTCCTTTTTGTTGTTGTTGTGGAAACTGAAACAGGGTAGCTGAGGACAGAAATAACTGTTTTCTAAGAAGTATGACAGACATGTTCATAGACTTTGGTACATTTCTAATTTGCTGCTAGAAGTTTAAAAAAGAGGTATGTTTAGTTGTTTTACAATTAACTTGTATTAGGGGCTTTCAGTATGCTACATTTTGTGTAAAGAACACATTTTTAACCTTTGAAACTTTTGGCCTATAAAACTCAATAGATCATAAGAGAATGCACTACCAATGAAAGGAGCTCCATATTATTTGGTTATTTGTTATAAATGGTACTAGATTAATTTTACCAGTGTAAATAGTGTAGTAATTCTTTGCCACATCCAGGTTGTGCTGGCCTCTGCCTCTAATATTTAGGTATTTTCTCGGTTGTGAAACTAGGAATGCGTTGCCAGTGTATTGAACTGTGTTTTTCACCCAGTGAGTACTTGAACAAAGTTAAAATTATGACATTGATTAAACTAAATTATTTTCTGGAGTTTCAAGTACTTTTAAAATTGTGTGAACGATTGTTAAGGGTTACAAAAAGATTTTTAACTTTTTTTGTGCTTTTTAGTCATTATAATTTGTAGCTTATGCTTGATTTTTTATGTCTGACTTTAATGTAAACAGATTTGGTTTTAAAGAAAATTTCAAAAACAATAAATCTGCCTATTTGAGATGAATTATTTGGTGATAAATATAAATAAACATAGCAGTGTCCCCTCTCTACAAAGCTTCTAAGTCTTCATGTGTAGGTGAGGCGGGTTGTTACTGTTGGCATTTCGCAAAAACTTGAGAATTGGGCGGGTTAAGTTACTTGCCCAAGGTTGCACCTCAATTCATATGACTACCCATAAAGGGGATATTTCTACTTACGCTGTGCTACTTCTCATTGAGGATTTCTTAATTGCACTTTGAGAGAGCAGTTTGGGCAAAATATATATGAGAAACTAGAGGATTGTTTTCTGTGGGTATGGTTTTGGATCACTTACTTTCAGGTTACTTTAAACTTTCACGTGAATTTCTGAGGAAGGTAATCATATTTACATATTTAGAGATAATAAAGCTGAAATGAGAAGTAAATTAATTTGCTCCAGGCACATCTATGTGAAAGTTTTACAGATAGTAGGTATATTTGTAAAGCATGAAGTGGTAACCTCATAAAAACGTTTGGGTGGAAAGTGTTCCCAAGATAAAGGACCGTAAAACAGTCCAGGCCTTTTCTCAATTGTTTAGCAGTCTGTCTTTACCTCCTTCACATTTGTTAAGTGCTTGTCATGTCATTGCATTGTTTCCTTTAATTTTGAAAACAAGTTAGGAGATGGTCATTCTCCCCTTTTCACAAATGAGAGATTGAAACTTAGAATAAAATTAAGTGATGTCTCCAAGGATAGTTATCTAGTAAATGATGTATTAGGGTTACCAGCTCAGGTGTCTGAATGTGATGTCTTCAACTTTATTTGATGTGTGCTTCTCCAGTCTAACTGAAATCTGCTTTCTGAGATCACAGGTTACAAACGTGCAAGGAATAGGTATTGGTTCGGGTAGGGGTAACATGATCAGATTTTTAAGTAGGAAGTTGATTATACTGTTAAGCAACGATAAGTAGATGGATTGTGAGCTGTTTTTCAGTGCCCAGCTTGGACTGCATAAAACTTACGGTGGACCAGTCTTCAGGGCCGAACAACTGCTTCACTTCACCAGTTCAGTTAGCTTCCAGTACTTCATTTAGTGATGTATAAAACTGAAAATTCCATGCATAACTTCTGTTTTCTTATTTTAAGTTTGTTTTATTTTTCTTACTTTCAAGGTATATTTGCCTTTCTGTTTAGCCTTTCGTTTAACTCACAAACCTGAAGTTTCTCAATCTAGGATTCTGAATATGTCCTTGAGTTGCTCCCTTTGTTTATCCCTTGGCACATAAGACTTTTCAAAGTTTCATCCATCATTGCATATACTGCTTTCTGTATTTTGAATTATTTGGGATATTCTGAATGAATCGTGATAGCTATAGTGCTTTTATATTCCTGTGCTGAGTGTCTTCCCACCCTGAGTTAGCAGCAAGCACATGCTCGTCTCTCAAGTCTTAGTTTTTACACCTGTGTGTTACTTGTTTTATCTTGACCATTGGTTAATTTATTTTATTACTTAAATAAATCTGTTTTCTCACCCAAACTGTGACCATTTAACACTAGAGACTGCTTAACAGAGAATATATTTTGTTCAGTCAGCATAGTTCACCTAAGTATTATTCATGAATCTGCATTGTATTTGAAATATTTGTGTTCTGTTTATTTCTGTGGTTCCCAATGCTGGGTGGCCTGTAGATGGACTGGAAAAGGCAGTGGAAAAGAACAGTGTGGACTCTGTCATTAAGCAGATCTATGTCTGAGTTCTAACTCTCTCTTTTACTGGTAGTGAGATTTGGGTGTCTTACTTAATCTGTATGTGATGTAAAAACATCCAGCATATACTTAGGTAGTTAATAAATATTTCCTTTGGCTTTTTTCTGTTCAATAAGTGATTTATTTAATGCGTCTAATACAATAAACACTGGAAATTCAAGCTTGGGATTTGGGAGGGGTGTGTAGACTGTAGACTGCTGATATGCACAAGAAGGATAGAGAAAGGAACTGAAATCAATGTGAAGTAAAGAAGTGGCATTAGAGAAAGGTAGTATTTGAAGGTCAGTGGGAATCATTGTTAAGATCTGAAAGAAAGGGAAAAAGACTTAAATGGGGTAGGTGTTAATCTCAAGTAATTAAAAGACAACCTAAGGCACCTGTAGCCTATTTGGGGGGGTTTGGGTTGATGTCTGGGTTTTGTTTTTGATTTCAACTTGCTGCTAAAATGTATCCTGGAAGGCAGCAGGGGATGGCCCAAATCGTCCTGTCTCTGTCACTCATATGCTGTCATTGGGGAAAGTATGCAGGTAGCAGTAATGTTGAAACTGAAATTTGAATTTTCTGATTGAAATTTGCTCTTTTTGTTACTGAAGAAGTAATAGTAGTGAAAGCTTGTGTGTGTTGCATGCATATTTAATGCCAGGCAGCATGGTAGACATTTTCATTTGAAGTTTCTGGCATTATCACTGTTTTCAGAAGACGAAAGGAGGAGTTGGAGAGATTATGTAATTTTGATTTATATAACTAGTAACAGCTGTCATTGCTATATTTGTATTCAAATATGTAGAACTCTAAGAAACCTTAGCTCTTAATCACTGCTATATTTGTATTCGTAGTATTTTGTGTGTATTTTTCTCTGTGATAGTATGGTATGACTTATCCCATCTTTTAAATGTTCAAATGAATCTGTAATAACAAATTAGAGGATTCTATTGTTGTACTTAATACTTTCATGTAAAGTTTGATTCAGTTGTAAATAGTTCCTTTTGGATATTGTACACTAAAAATACAAAGGTAGTATTTTAGAGCCTCAAAAGAATGAAATGAACTATGTGTAACTGTTTTGTCATAAATCATGGTTTCCAGTTTTAACATTTTCAGCTATTGAGTCTTTGATACATTTTTCTTTGTGCTGGCCAATTGCCAAACACTTGTTTGTTTTTGGTTCAAATCAAGGGAGAATGCTTTTGATAAGAATGATTTCAAGTTGTAGAACATATAGATTAGTAGAAATAGACCTGGAACTAGAAATGATTAGAAATTATCTGGTCAGTACTCTCATTTCCAGCTCAGGAATTGGAATAGTTAAGAAAGCTGATTACATCTCAGACTTCTCGGTGTTATTTGGAGTAGGAAACACTGATTTGGAATATTGCTCCTATATATACAGTAAACTCATACAAATACCTGTAGTCTTCATTGAAGAGTTTTCTTTATTTTTAGTCGTTGAACAGTTTCCATTGTTTATTTTTGCCAATTTTAAATGTTTAATCTATTTTTCTCTACTTGAAACACAAGCATTGGAGAGACTTAGTGAGAGATCTATTCACTGTTTCGTTCCCTGAGTGACCACAGCAGTGAAGAATGGGCCAGATTGATATCAGGATCCCAAAACTCCATCCAGGCTTCCCACCAGTTGTGAAGGGCCCAAGCACTTGAGCCAGTATCTGCTGCCTCCCTTGATACATTAGCAGAAATCTGTATTGGAAGCATAGAAGCAGGAACTTAAATGGTGCTTCATTATGAAATGCAGGTGTCACAAGTGTTGGCTTAACCTGCCATCCCATAACATCCTCATCTATAGTTTTTAAAGTACTAAATTTGTTCATCTTCCATGACTTTAGATTTAAGATCATATTAAGAAAGGCCTTTTGTGTTTTGTGATCATAGCATCTTCTTTGCTTTTCATTTAGTACTTTTGCAGTTTCATATTTTATATCAGCTTTTGAGCTATCTAGAATTTATATTGACATAATGTATAAGCTAAATACATCTAATTTTTTTTTTGAAATGTGTTTTAATACTGTTTGATTATTATCTCCTGTGTGAAGGGTCTTCGAAGCAGAGAATTAGCCCAGTTGCCACACTTAACTAAAAGCTGAGTAACTGCAAAGAGTGTTGACTGTTGTAGTGATGACAATGGGAGGTAAAGTTTTTAGATGGTAATCTGAGAAAAAAATGTAGATTTAGGTGTGTCTGTGGTTTGGGAGGAAATAGATTTTAAGTTAGAAGTACATAATGGGGCCCGGCGGCCTGGCCTAGCAGCTAAAGTCCTCACCTCTTAACGCGCTGGTATCCCATATGGGCGCCAGTTCTAATCCCGGCAGCTCCACTTCCCATCCAGCTCCCTGCTTGTGGTATGGGAAAGCAGTTGAGGACAGCCCAATGCTTTGGGACCCTGCACCCGTGCAGGAAATCTGGAAGAGGTTCCTGGATCCTGGCTTCGGACCGCGATAGCATCGGCCATTGTGCTCACTTGGGGAGTGAATCATTAGCTGCAAGATCTTCTTCTCTGTCTCTCCTCCTTTCTGTATATCTGACTTGTAATGAAAATAAAATAAATCTTTTAAAAAAAAAGGTACATGCTGAAGGAGTGAGTTTTGGCATAGCAGTTACTCCTTGGGATGCCTGCATCTGATGTTGGAGTGCCTGGGTTTGAATTCTGGCTCTGCCCCAATTCTAATTTCCTGTTAATGTGCACCCAGTGAGGTAACAGGTGATGGCTCAGGTAGATCTGCCTATAAAGTGAGAAACTTGGGTTGAATTCCTGCCCAGCAGGATTGTTTTGGGCATTCAGGGAGTGACAAGTGAATGAAGATTTCTTTCTTAGTCAATCAGAAAAGAAGGAAAAAAAGTGAAGATTCTGGAAGTATAGTATAGTAGATTCCATAGTATAGATACAGAGGTTAACCTTAAACATGAGAGCAGAAAAGAGAGCTAAGAATGACTAATGCAAATATTGATAAGGTAGATATGAAGAGTTGAGGGTTCTTTGAAATTATAATTAAGAGTACATAAATATAAAAGTAGTTATAAAGTACTTGAAGAGAGTGAGATATTTTATACTTTCTTTGTCTTTCTCTTACAGGTCATCTTTGCAATTATGGATTTTTAAACGGGATCAGACAGTGTGGAGGGGGACTTCCCCTCCTCACTCCCCCTTGGTGCTTGACTGCAGGAATAATTTATAGACTGAGGAATTTTTTAAATGAATAAATTGTATTTTATATGAACTTTATAGAGCTATTTGTATTTTTTTGATTTAAGTGCCAAAAATATACAAATATATAGTTTTATATTAATGCCGTGAGGATTTATATTATAAGCCAAGAAGGGCCATTTATTCTCTGTGATTCTTCCTAAGTAGCACTTTGTGTCCTGACTTCTTCATTAAACAAAAAAAAAAAATAGTCTTAACGGACTATTCTGAAGAAGTGAGCAATATAAAAGCCATTAGGATGAATTCTTCCATCCCTGACTGCACATCAAAGTGTCAGTCACTGAGGCATGCTTTGGATGTCATTTCTGTGGTAACCAAGGGGAGTGAAAACCAGATTAAAGCTTTTCTCTCAAGTCATTGTTACAATGCTGCAACTATTAAAGATGCTTTTGGAAGGAATGCCCTGCACCTTGTTTGTTCTTGCGGAAAGAAAGGAGTGCTAGATTGGCTTATTGAGAAAGGAGTGGATCTGTTGGTGAAAGACAAGGAGTCAGGCTGGACAGCATTGCACAGAAGCATTTTTTATGGACATATTGATTGTGTTTGGGCTCTGTTAAAGGTAAGTGTAATCTGTTTATTGAGAAGTTTTATTTTATCAGATATATATTGTCCTTAATCTTTATATGTTCCATTTAGTTTGTTAAAAATAAAATGACATTTGTTCTTATCACTTGTTTGAGATCTCTTATTCTTGTAAGTTGTCCTTGGAATTTAAATTTCACATCTGTTTTTCTCTTAGTATCTGTGTATCTTGTCTGCTTACTTATTTATTTTGAAGGCACAGCAACAAAAAGGTAAGGAGAGAGAAACTTTGATCCATTGATTCGGTCTCCAGGTGGCCGCACAGCTAAGTTCGGCCTACAGCCAGAACCAGGAACTCCATCAGGGTTTTCTACATAGGTGGTACTTGGGCCATCATCCAGGGCTTTCCCAAGAGCATTAGCAGGAGACTGGATGAGCCTCAGAGCACCAATTTTACACTGACATTTATTAAACTGTCAGCAAATATTTGAAATTATTCTTGGAAAGGCATACATTTTATACTTTAAAAAATATAATAGGGCCTGGCGCCGTGGCCTAGCAGCTAAAATTCTCGCCTGGGATGCTTCCGGATCCCATACGGACGCTGGTTCTAATCCCTGCAGCTCCGCTTCCCATCCAGCTCCCTGTTTGTGGCCTGGGAAAGCAGTCGAACATGGCCCAAAGCCTTGGGACCCTGTACCCACATGGGAGACCCAGAAGAGGTTCCTGGCTCCTGACTTCAGATCAGGTCAGCTCAGCTCCAGCCATTGTGGCCGCTTGGGGTGTGAACCACCGGATGGAAGATCTTCCTCTCTGTCTCTCCTCCTCTCTGTATATCTGCCTTTCCAATAAAAATAAAATAAATCTTTTAGAAAAAAGTCTAGTAAGATTATAATAATAATTGGAATTTAGTAATGTTCTTTATCCTTTCCCCTTAACTTAGTTATTTTTAAAAGGATGAAAAAAGAATACTGTAAAAGGTTGAGCTGAGGTACTGCCTTAATTAACAATGAAGAAAATACGGTATTTCATTTTTGAATTGTAAAAATAAAAAAGATCGTAGATTGCCTTAACTTTCTTTTTAAACACACACATATTCGGATTTTTTAAAAAAGATTTGTTTGTTTTCCCTGGAAAGTTAGATTAACAGAGGGAAAGATCTTCCGTCCAATGGCTCACTCCCTAAGTGACTATAATGGCTAGAGTGGAATCGATTTGACGCCAGGAACCAGAAGCTTTTTCTAGGTCTCCCATGCGGGTTCCAAGGTTTTGGGCCATTTTCCACTTCCCAGGTCACAAGCAAGGAGCTGGTTGGAAAGTGGAGAAGCAGGGACCCATAGGGGATCCTGGCACATGCAAGGCGAGGATTTAGCCATTGAGTCATTGCACCATGCATTCAGACTTTTTAGAAAAATATATTTTAGTTTTATTTGAAAGGCGGATTTGTAGGTAGAAGGAGAGACAGAGAAAGGGAGATCTTCCATCTGCTGGTTTGCTCCCTAAATGGATGTAATGTCTTGAGCTGATCTGAAGCATGAACCAGGTGCTTCTAGGTCTCCAAGGACGATCCAGGGACTGCAGGGGTTGAGCCACCCTCCACTGATATACCAGGCTATGCACAGGTACTGGATTGAAAGTGGAGCAGCCACATGAATCAGCACCCATATGGGATCCTTGTGTTACAGGCGCAGGATTAATGTTTTGTTCCACTGTACCTTACCCACACTCACAAATTCCTAAAAAAATGTGTGTGTGTGTGGATTTGCCTGTATGTGAGTTACAGGAGACTGCTGTGGATGTTATAAAAATTTAGAAAATATCTACCAAATATGAGGTTATTTCAGAAAGTTCATGAAAAATGCAATTAGAATGTACATTTATCTTGGTATAAGAAATTTTGGAATATTCATACAGATATAATGAAAAAATTATGCAAACCTTTTTACACCAAGATAAGCATTTTAAAAATTTCTGTCCACATTGTTTCTGAAGTGCCTTCATAGAAATAAGAATATAATTGTCTTAATTAATATGAACAATGCAAGTAATAGAATTTAACACAAAAAGAAATAGAGCATAGGTGATTATATTATAAAAAAGTAAGTCCTAATGTAACTGTTGTGCTGTCATTGCCTTGACATAATTGCAACCTTTAAATGTCTCTTTAAATACAAAGAAAGTTGTACACATGTTGTGCATACAGCTATAGATCCAGGCTACTGCCATCAAGACAAACCTGCCTTATCATGAAACTGTCAAATCTAATTTGTTTTGTTTTAAAATGTTCTTATTTCTTCACATTTTTAGAAGCAATTGATGTTTGGTTCTCTTTATTCTTTGTGAGGGGAATATGTGTGATTGTGAGAAAATGTCATTTTTAAACCTTTTAAATGTGAAATGTATATTTTTACTGTGTTTTTATAAGTTTGATCATTGAATTCTTGCAGTGTAAGAATAGGAAATTTTTTATTTGGTAAATTGATAAAACACAAAATGTGTAATTTTTTTTTTCTTTTTCTTTTTCAGCATGGAGTTAGTCTGTATATTCAAGATAAAGAAGGCTTGTCAGCTTTGGATCTTATAATGAAGGATAGACCAAGACATGTAGTATTCAAGAATACTGGTAAGAAAATTCCACAGATAGAATATATCAAGGTACAGCTCTGGAAACTTTCATGACATTTTATTTTTAGTAAAATAGCTGAGATTTATTTTGTATGGATAGTTACTTTGGAGTGTTTTGGTTGACGTTTTTGGTTTTATCAAAAACATTTTGCATTTTCCAGTTGCAGCCTCATTTTTTTAAGCATAAAAATACAGGCTGAAAGGGTTAAGCAGAGTTGTATCTACTTTAACAGTAATGTGCATCCGGAAAGTAATATCAGCATTTGAAGTAGAAGAAAAAATAAATGAAAGTGATTGTTCTACTCATATATCCTAATTTCATTTTCCCTCTAGTTTGTTTGCCTTTTTATGGGTATAGCAGAAAATGAGAATAGGTTTAAAGGGGGGGGTACTATTTATTTTGCATTTAGATATACTTTACCATTCTAGGATTTTGTTGGCCTCCCACAATAAAAAAATGTAAATTTATAGCATAAACTTCACTATGGTTAAATTTTTTTGATTAAGATTTTAGAAATTGAGGGCAGTGTTGTATAGTACATAAAGCCTACAGCTCCAGCAGCCCATATGTACATACACTGGTTTTTATCTTGATTGCTCTACCTGTATTCCAGCCCTTTGCTAATGTCTTGGGAAAAGCAGGGAAGCTTATCCAATGTCTAAGCCCCTGCCACCCATGTGGGTCCCCTGGATGATGTGGCGTTGCCCTGGTCCAGCACAGGCCATTATGGCTAGAGTGGATGGAAGATTGATTTCTTTGCCTCTTCTTTCAAATAACTAAACTAAAAAAAAATTCTTTTAGAAATTTTTTAGTAGCCATGTAAGAATTATACGCCTTTATGGAGTAGCATGTGGTATTTTTATTTATGTATGCGTTGTGCAGTTTTTAGAGTGAATATCTGTCATCTCAAACATTTAATATTTGTTTATGGTGAAAATTTGGAATGCTGTCTTCTGGTTTTTCTAAGATAGAGATATATTTAATAGTGTTTGTGATTTAGTAATATCACAGTTTAATGAAATGTTGTCTAAACACTGTTGTGATTTTGTGTCTGGAGAGCAACCAGTTGAAAATTAATGTTTCTATAGAAATAGTAATATAAATTTTACTTAGAGCCTTTTTATTATTATTTATGAATCCATCACAGCTTACAGTTAGAATAACTTTATTTTCATAGAAACTTATTATGGCAATTTACTCATTTAGCATTTTAAATTTGACCACTTGAAAACAAGGAACAAGGGCTGGTGTTGTGGTGCACCGGGTTAAGCTTCTTACATGGCTGACATTCCATAACACCGTGCCGATTCTAGTTGTGACTACTGAGCTTTCAGTCCAGCTTATTGCTAATGTGCCTGGGAAGGAGGCAAGAGATGGTCCAAGTACTTGGGCTTCTGTCACCCATGTGGGAGAGCAGGGTGCAATTCCCAGTCCTATTATTTCAGGCATGTGGAGAGTACACTAGTGCATGGATAATTTCTCTCTTTCTCTCTGTTGTGCCCTGCTTTTGAAATATGTGTGTGTGTGCATCTAGATGTTAAGATAAATTATACTTTTTAAAACAAAAAACAACTGTTTAAGTATGCTAAGACTTTTACTATGATTTAGATTTTCTGATTTCTCTTTCTAGAATTATGTATTAATGCATTAACTTCTTTTTTTTTTTAATAATGGTGTCTTTCTGCGTATAGTCATCATGTTAGTTCCTGTAAAGAAACAGTTTTAGGTGAACCTATCAGTAGTGTATATCTCTAGTTGAACCTAACTGACATTTGTTTTAAGATCTGTATGGCTGTAAAACTGGTTCTCATTGTAGATCCCACAGATGTCTACACTTGGGGTGACAATACTAATTTTACTCTGGGTCACGGAAGCCAGAATAGCAAGCATCATCCAGAGCTGGTGGATCTTTTCTCCAGGAGTGGTGTTTACATCAAGCAGGTATTTTGAAGTACACTCTGCATTAAGATTAAAAAGAGCTTTTATGTTTAGTAGTTTCATTTTTCATTTGGATTCTGTTAAATCTGTTTGAGGTACAATGATATTTTAATGAACACATTTATCAGTAGAACTTTAGTAATTTTATTTTAGATTTTATTGTCTTTAATTATAGTTTGAATAAACACACCAAAAATGAGTTGTTTATGCATTATTAGAAATTAGAAGATTCTATACAATTACTAATTTAATTTTGAAAAAAACATTTTGTTAATTTTCTAGCTTTTTCTTTCTATTTTATTTTTTTAATTTATTATTTATTTTAATAATTTATTTTTTGATGATGATTACATCATCAAAATGATGCTAGGAAGGATTGAGCATTAGGGAAAAGTGGGTGAAATTGTTATTTCCAGATTTTCTGTTTCTTTTTGTCTCTGGGAGAAGGGGAGAGGTCAAGGGCGAATCCACATCCAGTCTCCCAAATGACCCAGGGCTGGGAAACCACCACCTGGTATCAACCAAGGGCCCTGTTGCGGTACATGTTCCAAAGGTTCTGCCCAAGTGGTTAGGATAGTTCTGAAATGCTGTCGATTTTGCCTTTCTAAGAGTGAAGCAACTTTCCATTGGCTGACATAGTCAACATCAAGTCTCCATTCACCCAGATTTTTGCTGTCATTGTTTGGCTGCAGTACTTGTCAAATTTGTTCCAGTTCTACCTCTGCTGTGGTATCCAAGAGCTGCCATGTTCTCCATGTGCATCAGGGTCTGCATCCACTGCTCTGCCTTTTTCACTCCTAGGTGGGCCTCAAAAACTGGGCCAGGTGACCTGAAACCTGCTGGATTCCCTGCCCCCTGGGTCCATGAACCTGGTGGCACTTACCTGGCAGGCAGGCCCCAGGACTCGGGCCATCCAGCCTGAGCTGTACTGGATCCCCCATGGCCAAGGCTCATAAACCTGGCATCCACCTCACAGGTGGGTCCAAGGACCCTAGTCAGGCGACCCGCTTCCGCTGGGTCACCTGCCCCCAGAGCTCATTATCCTGGCATCCACTGACCCCAGGCTGGCATGACTCACCTCACATCAGCGTCCACTATCACATTTATATCCCAAGTCCAGCCTGTCCCCAGTTCTAGCTCCTGCTAGTGGGTGTTACAGCCTGGCCCAATCCAGCTAGATCCCTGTCCCAGCTCTAATGTGAACTGGCTAGTATTGCAGCCCAACCTGGCCCTCCTGCACCCTGTCCTGGTTCTCCAATCTGTCAGTGGATGTTATACACTAGCCCAGCTCTGTCTGTCCCCAGACCTGACCCACAAGATATGCGGTAGGGTATTTTAACCTGGCATGGTCTAGGCTGCTAATTGCCTTGGTTCTTGTGTGCACCTGCAAGGACTGCATCCTGATGAAGGAATTTCCCAAACTCCTTTATTGGGTCTCCTCCAGTGGCAGATCTCGCATGTTCCAGGGAGTCCTTAGCCCAGATTGACCTAGTCTACCTTCTCTCTTGTCAGAAACTGGTCTTGCCCAACTGGCCCACACCCATTCCAGTTTTTACGGTTTGTTGCTACAGCCCAGCCACAACTGGTCCACTCCCAGACATAACTCCTGTGTGCTTCAGTGGGTACAAATATCTCTCTCAGCCCATCCTATACCCACCTTGGTTCTCAGATCAGTGGGTGCTGGAGTCTAGCCCAGTCTGGCACAACCCAGACCCAGTCCACAGCCATGCTCAGGGAAACTCTAGTCATGTCCATCCTAGATTGCTGCCCCATTGCAGCTCTCACACTCACCAGTGGGAATCACAACCCAGCCCACATATTTGCAACGAATCTGCCCCCGCAGACCATGTTCTCTCATATGCTTGTTCTTGTCATTGCCCACCCTAATATTACCCGTCCCCTGATCTGACACTCACTGGTGTTTACTATGATCCATAGTAGACCCTCAGCCCTGGCTAAGTGTGTGTAGGTGGTAGATGCTAACTAACCCAGCTCAGGTTTCCCATGTGGGCTGGTGCATCGATCTGATCCAGAAAGGTCCTCCAGCTTCCCTCCTCCAAACCAGCCAGTCTCAGGCTTCTCACTCACATGCACATACAGAGGCAGTTGAAGTCCCCCAGAAGTCATTCCTCACCTGCAACATACTCCCTCAGCGGTCCTCCCTCCCACACTTCCCTGTACCTCCTTCCCTCACTACTAAGAATGCATGGGTTGTCCAGCCCAGCCTTCTGAAGTCCAGTTTTCTGGTGAGGTGGTGTGCTGGCCTGGAGCTCTGTTTGCCCACTAGATTCCCAAGCTCCTGGCACATGTGCTGCCTGGAACCTTCCCTCTCCGTTCACTTAAGATCCAAGGCCATTCAAAGTTCTCCAAGCCCAATAATCAGCCCAACAGGCCAGCTTGCTAACCTTGGGCTCTCCCCTCCTCTCCTCTTTGCTACCTAGGACCAAGCACCTGGGGAAATCCCCAGGCTCTCTCTCCCTGTCTGGGTGTGAGCCCTAGGTTCACACAGACCTGGCTGGCACCATCCCAGGCTCCCAGGATCCCATGCCAGTGCAAAGACAGTAGTCATCCATGCTGGTGCCAAAGTGGCCTTTTTTAAAAAATGAAATTCTTCAACTTCTTAAGTGAATTTGTTCAAATCCTGTGTTAACATTTTTTGCAAGCAATCCTGCGTTCTTTAATGTAACCAGTTGTAAAACTTTAAGTGGTACAACTTAATGATTTGCTTCTCACATTTACTTTTTTTCTGACTTTGAAGTTAAAAAAGCTGCCTTTATACAGAATATGTGTTTTTTAGCTTTTCAGTTACTGCAGTACTGGTTCTTCTCAACTTTGACCTAACCTTCATGGATTACATACTGGCAAACCTTTAGCTCTTATTTTAAGATTGAACTTTCAGTTTTTAGAGCTAGTTAGAATTCATAAACCTACAGTAGGGCCAATTTGATTGTCTTCCTGGTGTGGTTATTAATATATTCATTTCATTGTAAAAAATACTTGGATAACTTATGGTTATCATTTTTAAGGCTTCACAAAATACTATAGAGTTTAGTGTTGTTTTATCCTTAAGAGTTATGATTTGATTCTGGTAATTATTCACATATACTTGGAAAGAACTAATGATAATGAAAGAACTTGAGATGGGCAGAAACTGTAAGTCTGGTGTCTGAATCTTTGGGGAATGTGAGGGATAGTAGGTATTTATAGCTAACAAGTTCTGTCTCTATGGAGTTCAGAGCTTAAATGCACAATGAGTTTGAGTGGGTCCTCAGAAGCTTTAAAATGGTGATTCACTCCTTAGTAGGCAGGAATGATTAATCCGAGTTGGAGCATAAGAAAGATGCCTGCTTTTTCTTCCCCAGAGTTAGTGCATTATACAGTCCAATTTCATGAATGCTTTAAAGAGACAAAATTTTTATACAAGAGTTAAATAATAATGGTGATACTGGGAAACTAGGCTGATGTACCTTCTTATTAAATATATGTACTACAGAAGAATGGAACATATTTCAGCACCATTATAGATAGAACAGTGTGCTCAAAAAGGAAGTCACATTTTAGCTAAAGCAAAGGTGTAGGATTATTCTGTGAATGTTTAGGAATCAAGGGGATTTCATTATTATGAATTGAAGATTCAGGGAATGGACCATGTATGGATTTGAAAAGGAGGAAAGCAGTATAAGTGTCAGTCAGGGAAGAGAAAGTTGAAACGAATGGTATAAAAAGCCCTATTAGTTGTTGAAAAAGGGTTGTTTCTGATATAGGAGCAAATCAAAGACTACTACTGGGTGGAGGATGTTAATATTATCTTTACATTTTCCAGATAATTGAAAAAGAAATATTGAGTTACTTCATTTAAAGCTTAAGTTGATGACTTATGCTTTCAGATAATGATCGAAATTAGAAGTTGTAGAATGGTATCCTAATAATAAATAAAATGTTTTTGATTCATAAAATGATTTTCCTTTGTAATTTCTAGCTTTAAGGTACAAATTTGGATTTTAATTTTACATGTCTTTGTATGTTATTTGTTTTACAGCTAAGTGAAATAAAGATCTTTCCAATACTTTTGTTTATTTTTTGAGTGGCATATTGATTGTGTTCATAGAATTCTCTGAGTTCTTTAAGGATGCATGTAAATATCTAGAGCTGATAGTTCATTTTATAGTTTTTCATATTCCATAGGATTTTCACTTTATGAAAATGATTTCAGGGTTTCTTTATTTCCCAGTCATGTTCATTTCCTAATTTACAAATATTTACAGGTAAGAAATACAAATGCAAGTAATGTTTTAAAACAATATAGAATTTTTTTGTTGACCATAGCAGTATTCTTGTCTTCTAGAGGGTGATTAGTGGATTATGTGTGTGTTGTGTGTGTCTTGGCATAAGAAAGTTCATGCAAATGAGGCAGATAAGAATGGAAATAGGAAAGAAAAAATAAATGTAAACAAATTTTTTATATTGGAGAGTGAGATATACTGAGAGGAGGAGTGAGATATACAGAGAAGATCTTCCACCTGCTGGTTCACTAAGTGGCCACAATAGCTGAAGCTGAATTGACCCGAAGCCAGGAGCCAAGAGCTTCTTCCAGGTCTCCCAGGCGGGTGCAGGGCCCCAAGCTTTTGAGCCATCCTCTACTGCTTTACCAGACCACAGACAGGGAGCTGGATGGGAAGTGGAGAATCCGGGATAGAATTGGTGTCCATATGGGATCCTGGTGGATGCAAGATGAGGACTTTAGCTACTACACTACTGTGCTGGGCCCTAAACATTTTTGATGTTGCATAATAGCATTAAATATATGTTAGATAAAGCCAGAGATGAAAAACGGACATTCTGCCTCTTCATCTCTGTGTATAAATGATTTAAGGCATTTTTATCATTATTTGGTAATTTTTATTTTTCTTATCACATTCTGCTCAATTCTCACTATTTGTACTTTATTAGTTTGGAGCACAACTAGCCATTACATCTTGTAACATAACCATTACGTTTTTCTTTTTTAAATTTCTTCTGTAGGTGACAATTTTAATTATATATATTTTTTCTTTTTCCATGTTAGAGTAGTATACATAATTTTAAAATAAAGCATGCATATTTTTTATATTTCTTAAAAAATTTTAAACATTTTGTACAAAATAGAAATAATAGTATAATTAAGCCTCATGATAGGTGTTTCATGTGGTTGAAACAATTAGAATATTTGAATTCTTTTTGTAATACAAAAGATATTATAGCCAATGTTGTGGTGTAGCGGGTAAAATTGCCTCCTGGGGCACCAGCATTCCATATGGGGCAGTGGTTCGAGTCCTGGCCACTCCACATGTGATCCACTTTCCTGCTAGTGTGTCTGGGAAAGCAAAGGTCCGAATCCTTGGGCTCCTGCATACAAGTGCCTAGTGCCTGGCTTTTGACTGCCCCATCTTTGGCTATTGTAGCCATAGTACCAGTGGAATAAAAGATCTCTTTCTGTCTCTTCCCCCATCTCCTACTCTGCCTTTTCAATTAAGAAAAAATCTTTAATAAGTAAAATAATATGTGCTTAATTTGAGAAGTTTAATATTATTTTCTTATTTCCCCTTAGGTAGTACTTTGCAAGTTTCATTCAGTTTTTTTGTCCCAGAAAGGTCAAGTGTACACCTGTGGTCATGGCCCTGGAGGACGTTTAGGCCATGGAGATGAACAGACATGCTTGGTAATTAGAATGTTACTATATTGATTAGCTAGCAATAGTAAAACTCTGATAAACTAGAAGTTTCAGCTAACTAAGTTTTTTTTAATCAAGTGTTAAGAGAAAATAACATATCAGTTAATGATAAATTGCTTTTCTAAAACACAGTATCCAAATTAAGGACTTAATATGGTACAGTGGTATGGACGAAAAATAATATTTTGTTCTCAGCAATTGTTGAGTCATAGTGTATATAAATAAGCTTTATAATATTTTCAGAGTTGAAATAAAAAAAGACTAATTCTTCAACCTTTTTCCTGAGGCAGTCCGGGTTTTTTTATTTTGCACTTTCATGAAAGTATCTGGGATCCAGAAATTGAGCCAGTGGATTCGTTGCACAATCAAGAAATTGATTAAGTTACTGAAATGGTATAGTTGGAAGAAACTTAATTTATCACATTCCAGAAAATTGGCTCACTGGGGTATTGTTAAATTTTTCTTTTTGAGGTGATTATTGGTATATTTATGAACTCTTCAAGGTTGGCCTTCAAAAGGAAAGAAAAGTATAGTGGCAATAACTTCCATTTTTTTTTTAAGATATGTTTTTGGTAATTTTTGTTTTTATGCACTAGCGTTATCATAATAATCTTCATGACACACCTTGTGTGTTAAGAGAGTATCTTCCTTTTATACCTGAAAATATAAATAAAATCATTTATTGGTTGGTTATTTCTTTCAGAAGAAAATGATGTACAGAGAGGTTAGGGAATTTTTGAGATTAAATAACTTGTAAGTGGCAAGTTACATCTATTGTAACACATCAGAGGTCTCACATGAGAGAAACCTTATGTATGTAAAGAGTAGGATTTAAGCTTAGGACCCGTGACTCCAGAAGAAGGGAAGCCTGGATTCCCTTATTTTGTTATTATTTTTTAATACCAGTGAATATTTTGAGTTCTCTTTACTCATTCTAACCAAATTTATGCTTGGAATATGATAAAGGTTTAAAAAATATTTATTGAGCTGAGTTCTCTTATTTGTTAATTATTAATGATTAATTGTTTATTCAATTGATTATTTTACTTATGTCTTTTTTGGTTCACCACTTCTTTTATAAGCCAATGGGATATCTTTTTAAACTTACCTGCTCTTTGCTGAAATATAAAGGTTATCTGTGATACATATGGATTTAGTCATATCATGTTGGACATAATATAATTATACTTTAATCGCATTTTAATGCAAAAAGTTAATATATTATACTGAAATTAATTTAATTTTAAAGGTTCCCAGACTTGTGGAAGGATTGACTGGTCATAATTGTTCACAAGTAGCAGCTGCTAAGGATCATACTGTTGTGTTAACTGAAGATGGGTGTGTTTATACATTTGGTCTAAATATTTTTCATCAGTTGGGAATTATTCCTCCACCTGCTAGTTGTAATGTACCCAGACAGGTAAGCTTCTTTATTTAAGCACTAATGTGACTATTTGTTATAAAACTTATATGAACAAAAAGATATTAAGGTATTGACAGAACAACTTATTTTATTGATTTAACTCTATGTTCAGTGGGCATCATCATGTATGTTTAAACATATAAATACACATATGTATCTATATTTTAATTTTCACAGTTGAAAACGAGCAAAGAACAAATTAGCATTTGTTTAGAATAACAAGGAAACCACTTAAGAAGTGAAATACGTAGTAGATTAGCTATCAAACCACCCCAGATTCAATGTTGAAGGATTCATAAATTTAGATTTAGGAGATTTGAAACTTAGCAGTTTTTAGGCCCTTCTTAAGAAAAATGAAATTCATCAATACAAAATGGGCCAGTATAAGTTAGTTACCCAGAAACTCAATTTTAATCAGAGTTATTAAATCTGCCTATCTGTGGGTGTCATATTTGGTAGTTGAGAGAAAACATGGATCTAGAAGTCACTATTCTTTGTCCTTTCTCTCTCCCATGTGCACAACTATCACTGGAAAGTGCCCTGTGTACAACCACTCAGGAACTTATGGTACACAGAATGGAGATCGGTGCTGTAGTTTAATGTGTTATTAGAATCGTCATCCATATTTGCTGATTTAATCCTCTGAAGTTAAAATTATTTCTGGGTATACTTTTTTTTTTAAATGAAGTGCTTAAGTCTAGTACTGTTGTATTTGGGGTAACTAATGAATCAATAGAAATCATCCTTAAACAATTAGAAGTCTTCAACCTCATATTTTTCAAAAGAAATGCGATTTGTGATGATTTAATCATTTTATAGACTTAGAAATGACAGAAATATTTTTGGAGCTGTAAATGGATAAAGACATGTTTAGCATTCAGAATAAGGATCAGTTTTGACTCACAAAAGCCATTTGACAATGCCTGGAATTATTTTTCATTGTCAAAACTGAACGAGGCTAGTGGTACTACTGACATGAGGTAGAGCTAAGCGGTGCTGCTAAACACCAAATGGTACATAAGACAATCCTTCATAACAAAAACTTCTTAGGCCCAAATCTCAAAAGTGCCTCTGTTATAGGAGCCTGGATGTGTTTTCTAGTAAGGAATGAGAATGCCTGTTTTACATATTGCTATGTAGGAAAACATAAGTAACCAAAAGGTAATGATTTGGTTTTTGTACTGTGTCAGTTTTTTATGTTAAAACTGTTGACTGAAAGTGTGTAGGGATATTTTGTTGTGAGTAGTCTGCATCTTCATTGAGTGCTCTGCTCTGTTAGCAGTGATTGGCCTTTGTTTTGGAGAAACATCAGCAGCAAATATACCATACAAATATTTACCCCACTGGTTTACTGGATTTTGAACTGTTGTACTAGAGTACGTAGTAAGTTGCAGTCTTGTCTTTTGGAAAAGATACAGGCAAAGTACCTGAAAGGACGGACAGTCATTGGAGTAGCAGCAGGCAGGTTTCACACAGTGCTGTGGACACGAGAAGCTGTTTACACTATGGGACTCAATGGTGGACAGCTAGGTAAGAGTCATTTTTTGCTTTGTCAAGCATAAATTGGTTTTTGAGACGGGTATTCTATGATTTGTTTCTTTGTATGATGATTTTTTTTAGGCTATTTGCTAGATCCCAATGGAGAAAAATGTGTGACTGCTCCTCGTCAAGTTTCCGCTCTGCATCATAAGGACATTGCTCTGTCTTTGGTTGCCGCAAGTGATGGGGCAACTGTCTGTGTTACCACAAGGGGAGACATTTATTTGCTTGCAGAGTACCAGTGCAAGAAGATGGCTTCTAAGTATGTATATTTCTGTATAAGACGCATAACTTTAATAAATCTCCCCTTTTAACACATATTCTGAGTATTAATTTTATGCTGTGCTTTGTAAAGTTTCAATGGAAGAAGTTTTATGTGTTTAGGGAAGGGAGGGAATCAAAGTGTTTTCTTTTGGTGTTGAGGCAAGAAGATACAAGATTTCTCTTGATAAATTATAAAACAGTTTTTCTGAATTACATTTAAATTGTAGTTTCTCTTCCTTTCTTATGCCTGAGATACACAAAACGAGATTGCTTATATTTTTTGTTTGTGGCAGTATTATCATTGACTCATGTATAGACTTTTAAAAATTATACACTTACAGTTTGCTTTAAAAATAATTATATATTTGAACTCTATCTACATATAGGTTCAGTGCTTATATCTAACTAGAATTTTTTAATCTCTGTATACTCCATTGTTATCTAAAAGCATGTTTGAATAACATGCAGTAAACTAAGAAAGTCATAACATTTTCATTATGAATGAATTTATCAGTTGGAATTTTTTGTTTTCTGTTTAAAACAATTGTGAAGTAAATGTAGGTGTAGTCTTTGCTTTTGTTTTTAATATATTTTCAGTCTTTTATAGTTGAGTAATGAGTAATTCATATCTAATTTGATAGCAGTTTTTTTTTTTTTTTGTATTGGAAAGTCAGATATACAGAGAGGACCACAGACAGACAGGAAGATCTTCCGTCTGCTGCTTCACTCTGCAAGTGGCCTCAATGGCCAGAGCTGAGCAAATCTGAAACCAGGAGCCCAAAGCCTCTTCTGGGTCTTCCACATGATTTCTGGGTCCCATGGCCTCGAGCCATCCTTGACTGCTTTCCCAGGCCACAAGCAGGGAGCTGGATGGAAAGCAGTGTCGCTGGGATTAGAACTGGTGCCCAAATAGAATCCTGGGGCATGCAAGGCAAGGATTTTAGGCACTAGGCTATCACGCTGGGCCTGATAGCAGGTTTTGCTACTTTTGTAGAAGTTTTTTCTTTTAGCCTAATATTTCATTACTTTATATAATATTTCAATATTTAAGTAAACCAAAAATATTTCATTATACCAAAAAAATGCAGGAATGGAAATTTACACATATACAACTGATCTCTTTAAGATTTGGCTCTTTTTTCGTGGAAATAGTCATGAACAAGAATTTAGAGCATAATTGAAAACAATTAGGAATTTAGCAAAAATGCATTTTGTTGCATTTAGTTTTAATGTGAAAGAGATGATAACTTCTTTTTTTTCCCCTAAAAGATTTATTTTATTTTTATTGGAAAGGCAGATATACAGAGAGAAAGAGAGACAGAGAGGAAGATCTTCCGTCCAATGATTCACTCCCCAGGCGGCCGCAACGGCTGGAGCTGAGCCAATCCGAAGCCAGTAGTCTCTTCCGGGTCTCCCACATGGGTGCAGGGTCCCAAAGCTTTGGGCCATCCTTGACTGCTTTCCCAGGCCACAGGCAGGGAGCTGGATGGGAAGCGGGGCTGCCGGGATTAGAACTGGCACCCATAAGGGATGCTGGGCGTGCAAGGCGAGGACCTTAACCAGTGCGCCATCACTCTGGGCCCGAGACTATAACTTCTTAAATAGATTCCATTTATGAAGTTAGCTCATGAGCTGAAAATGCCAAATATCAGTTTGTCCCAAACTACCTCTGTGCCAATCAATTAGAAAGTTTATTTTGACATCAATTATAGATAATATTTCAGTGTTAAACTATGAAGTAATGATTTTGTTTTTAAGATTTATTTTTGTTGGAAAGGCAGAGTTAAAGAGAGAGAAAGATCCTTTCATCTAATGGGTCACTCTGAAACTGGTCACAGTGACCGGAGCTGGTTTGATTTAAAGTCAGAAACCAGGAACCTCTTCCAGATCTCCCATGTGGGGGTATGGTCCTAAGGATTTGAGCCATTCTCCTCTGCTTTCCTAAGCGATAAGCAAGGAGCTGGGTTGGAAACGGAGCAACCAGGACTCCAGTTGTTGTCTATATGAGGTGCTGGCACTACAGGTGTGAAGTCTAACGTCCTAGGCCACTGCACCTGCCGCCCAAAATATGTTTTGTTACAATTGATTAGTTTTTTCGTAACATGAGGTGGTTTTTGGCATATTAGGTTGTGTTTTTAGTCAACATTGACAGTACATTCCATAAGCATAAATTATATCCAAACTTTCACATGAAAATTACTTTATTATAGAGTAAGTTATGACATGATAGTTCTGAATTTCTTTAATGCTTTCAAACTGTCTGAAAATGAGGCCCACGATTAGAGTAGCAGCAGGCAGGTTTTACAGTGCTATGCACATCAGATAATAGGTATAATTAAACTGTGTGGCTAATTAAGCAATTGAGATAATTCATGGTAAATTATGTATTTAAGATTGACCATATTTCAAATTTAGCATTTCTATTTCACTTTGAGCTTTGAAGATTTTCTTTTCTGTTAAAATGCTGATACACTTAGGAGGTTATTATCCTTACAAGTTACTTAAGTTCCATAGTCAATGTGTGTAGTAACAAGTGGGGTTTAGATATGTAATGTTCATGTGAACAGATATTGGAGTGGGAAAGACTTTCCTTAGAAATGGCCACCTTTGAAGGGAATGTTTGTGGAAAAGAAAGTCTACGGATACCAATGACTCAATGGTTTTACTTCACATTTTCACATAAGTGCCTATAAGTTATTGTTTAAATAGTAATTTTTAAGAATTATAACATATGTGTTTTAGGCAAAATGTAACTCTAGAATTTTTTTTCTACCCAGGCAGCTGAACTTGAAAAAGATTCTTGTGTCTGGTGGTCGTATGGAATATAAGGTTGATCCTGAACATTTGAAAGAGAATGGGGGTCAAAAAATTTGCATTCTTGCAATGGATGGTGCTGGAAGGGTAAATATCATATTTATGCAGAAGTGTAGTACTGTAGTCTCAGTTGATAATGTAAGAGACCTGATAAAATGCAAATATATTACTATGTTGAAGATATTTGTTTCCCAATATGGAAATAATAATCTTACCCACTTCCCTATAGTCCTTGAACCTTTTTACCCTAATTAACTATGTAAAGATTGTCAAAAATATAAAAAAATTTAAAAAAAATATATTTGTTTCCAAACTTTGTTTTTTGACATCCAACATTAATTAGTATGGAGTCTGTATTTCAGAGATGTTGCACAGTATTCCTTAGTTAAGCTGTACTTTTTTTTAATGTATAAGTACTAAGTTCACTTTTTCGATTCCATATTCTCATGGTGTACATTTGAGCTTTCTGGAGGCTATGTACTAGATGAATGCACAATGAACTGAATGTGGAACAGAATGAATTTCAAATGTCTTCTATTAAGCCAGACATTAAAGAAATGTAAAAAATGATAAAACAATGGCAGCCTTCTCTTGTTTATTTTGATATTTATCTCCACTTTTCAGTAATTACTTTGAAATAATATTTTAATTAAAAAGCATAACTACGTTAGGGCTGGTATGGTAGCTCAACAAACAGATCTTCTACCTGACAGTAAGTGCATGGCATATGAGCACCTGTACATGTCCACGCTGCTCTACTTTTGCTTCAGCTTCCTGCTTATGGCCTGAGAAAGCAGCCAAGGATGGTCAATTTCTTGGGACCTTGCACCCGTGGAGACCCAGAGAAGCTGCTGACTCCTAGTTCCTGGCTTTTGATTGAATCTTTTCTCTGTAAATCTGACTTTCAAATAAAAATACATACATTTAAAAAATAATAATTAAACATAGGTGTGGAGTACACTCTGATGTTTAGATATAATGGGCATAGTATAAATTGATTTAACTGAATTAGCTAACATATACCTCCTTTGTAATTGTTTTCTGTAAAGACATTTGTCATTCACAAGCTACTTTTAAAACTAAATTACAATTTTAAGATTCACTTTAAGAAAAATGAAGTTTTTAAAATAAGATTTATACTTGAAAATCAAAAGTAGAGAGAGACATAGAGAGACAGTGAAATTCCATCCATTTGTTCACTCACCTAATGGCTGCAATGGCTGGAGCTGGGCCAAATAGAAGCCAGAACTCCAGGGATTCTTTGGAGTTTCTGAGTGCAGGGACCCAAGTACTGGTTGCCATTTTCCAGTGCTTTCGCAGACACATTACTGCGGAGCTGGGTTGTTAGTGGAGCAGCCAGGACATGAACTGGTGTCCATAAGGGATGCTGACACTGCAAGTGGTTTCTTGATATTCCACAGAGCTGGTCCCAAGATAGTTTTTTAAAGCCACTTTTTTAATGTCCTTTCTGTGGAAGAATGATCATTGACACTTATTAGAACTTTTATTTGGGTAATATGTCTAGATTTTAGATTTTGGTGGTTATGTTTTATTTCCTGATGTGATTTAATTTTGTTTTAGGTGTTTTGCTGGAGATCAGTAAGCAGTTCTCTGAAGCAATGTCGTTGGGCTTATCCACGCCAAGTCTTCATTTCTGACATTGCTTTAAATAGAAATGAAATTCTCCTTGTCACGCAAGATGGGGAAGGATTTAAAGGGAAATGGTTTGAAGAAAAAAGAAAGAGTTCTGAAAAGAAAGGTCAGTTCATATATGTATGTAGACAGCCTTTCAGTTAACCTTTAATTTGATAAGTATCGTTAAAGCTAATCAAGTATTACGTTTTTACTCTTTTTCATTCTGTCATTGTGATTAGTTTAATGCCAGTGTCCCGTTGGGCTATAATTCAGTGATGTAAAAAACTGCCTATTCTGTGTGTTTAGCATTTGACATATGTCCTGATATATGTTAGTTCATTATTAAGTTAACTGTTAAATGAGTAAATTAGTAAATGTTAAAGAAGTGTGTCTGGTTACCTGAAAAATTTTAAATATTTTCATGAAAATCATAAAGCAGCAAGGGAATGAGTTTTTGCTAATTTACTGGTAAGTTACAACTCTATCCCCTTATAGATTGTTTAAATGTGTACACATTTAGAATGGCTTTACAATATACTTGATACAGGATGAGACTTTAATGATAGAAATATCTAAGTTGGCCTTCTGTCTTCAGTTACTTATAAACATTTAAGGGCAATAGACATGTATGTAATTGTAGTCCACAGAGATAAGTATTAATATTGCATGCAAAATATTTAGAAGCTGGAATTCCTCAGCATGGAGAGCAGATAACTAATGCCTGCTAAGACAGTTACAGGGTAAATTTAAGTCCCCAGCACCTGATTTTGCCTTGTAAATATTGGAAGTTTTTAGAACTGTGTCTTAACATGTCTTCTAATCTTAAACTGCATTCATGATCTCATGCTCCTGCATCTGCTTCCCAGTGTTTTCTTGGCAGGTAGTTATTATGTTCAGTACCCATATTCTTCCCCCAACCAGCCAATCAAGTACCAGGTTTGTTACTTCTGTCTCAGATGTTTCAGAAAATTTTCCACTTTCCTCCAGATTGATTTTTGACAGTCTTAATCCAGATCATTTCTATTCTTTTTTAGAGGTTGAGTAACATCCCAAGTGGCCTTTTGTATCCATTCTTTTCTTACTTTAAAAACTATTCACAGTATCAACAGGAATCATTTCTTTACAAATAAATTTCATGTCTGTGTGAAACTAGCATATGCTTTATTTTCATGGTCTTTATTTGACATGGAAGGATAGAATTGTTTCTCTAATACTTGTTATCCTTGCTAGACTGTGTACTCTATGAGTTTAAGGACATGACTACTGTTCACTACTGTATTACTAGGGATGGATTGATGGTCTCTGTGTCACACACATGGCTCATATACATTTGTTTATTTAGCACAGTATGTTCACACAGATATTTGAATAAATCCAAGAAAGGGAGGAAGCAAATAAATAGATTATGAAGACATTAAGGATGTATGTTTTTAATGCAGATTGAAGAACTTACAAGTTTAAGTTTGGTTGCAGAATGGAAGATGTGGTTGTTGAAAGACAGAATTATCCATAATTGAGAACTGGTTGACCGAAAGTTCCCCTTAAAAGAACCAGTATATAGAGTGTAAAATTTGTGTGATGAAGAGGGAGAAGATACAGTTCTTCAAAAGGACTTCATATGTATAAAAAATTTCCGTATTCTCCCAATTGTTTTCCTGTTCTGGTTACTCTCAAATCCAGTTAACTATTTCAGTAAGGACTTAATTAATGCTATTTTTTTCTTTCTAACAGAGATTTTATCAAGCATTCATAATTCCTCCTCAGATTTGTCTTGTACTTCTGATACAAATACTGTATATGAAAGAATTCGGCTTGAGAAAATCACTTTTGCCCATAGAGCTGTTAGTGTCAGCACAGATCCAAGTGGATGTAACTTTGCAATACTGCAGTCAGACCCTAAAACAAGGTATGTCGTATGTGTTAACTTTCACTTTTATGTGGAATGATCACTTAGTGTTTTATATTGTTTGCTGTAGCTTCTTGTGAAAATTTAATATAAGGGCTTTTAGTGTTATAGAGATTTAGATAAGCAAATATGTTAGTAGGATAACTCTTAAGGTAAAGTGTGTTATCCTGGATATGACTTGTATTCCCTTTAGTTTGTAACAATGATATTTGCTGAAAATATTGAGGGTACATATGTGTACACACAGAAGATTTGTCTTTAGTGCTTCATGATGTAGTTTGTATTCTCAGACTTTAAGAAATGCATTATAACTATTTTCTGGGAAGTTTTTAGGGTTTTCTAACTTGAATGTGATCAGCATTGACAAAAAAAAGTTGGTATGAGACCATCTATAGGACGGTATCTAGTCCAAATGTCCCTGTCACATTAGTAGACAGTTAAGAGGGCAGAAGTCCTGGGGCAGGGTGATTGCCCATGCTGGCTTCTCTGTATAACACTGGGAAGCCTCATAGTCCAATGCAAACAGTGGTGACCCCCCTCTACCTGTTACATTCCTCAGTAATACTGAGAGAGCAGGCCTGCTCCTCTCTACTGTCTAACATATTTGCAGTTTCTGTTCATTTGGTTTTCTGTACTTGTAAAATAAAAAAAAAAAGAAAAAAGAAAAAGATTGAGAAATACATTTTTATGTCATTCTTTAATGTTCTCAGTTACATGTTTAATGACTTAATTTTGTGAAACAGCCATTTAAATTTTTATTCTAGCATCTCCTTGTAGAAATTAATGCTTTTTTCTAAAGGAATGCTTAATTTTTATCATTTTTGTTTGAGAAGCATACATACAAAAGAGACTATAGAAAGTATATCTATATGGCTGCACTGTTCTCATATTTTAGGAACTGGAATTTAAATTTTCTAATTGTCATGAATACTACACTTGAAAAGGAGAATTGGTTGGGGATAATTGTTTCTATTCAGAAATAAAAATGAATTTTTATTTCATTTCTAGCCTTTATGAAATTCCAGCTGTGTCTTCATCATCCTTTTTTGAGGAATTTGGCAAACTGTTGAGGGAAACAGATGAAATGGACAGTATTCACGATGTGACATTTCAAGTTGGCAATAGAATCTTCCCTGCACATAAATATATTTTGGCAGTCCGTTCTGATTTTTTTCAAAAATTGTTTCTCTCGGATGGCGCTACATTGGAATTTACAGATATTTACCGAAAAGATGAAGATTCTGCAGGATGCCCTCTTTTTGTGGTCGAAAAGGTTCATCCTGACTTGTTCGAATATCTTTTACAGTTCACATATACAGATACTTGTGACTTTTTAACTCATGGATTCAAACCAAGAATGTACTTAAACAAAAAACCAGAAGAGTATCAGGGTATTTTGCATTCTCGTGTAAATAAAATGAATGGTCATTCTGATGATAATCGAAAGTCAACATTAGAAATGTTTGAAAATAATCAAGCTCAGACAGTTACTGAAAGGCAGAAGAGCAAACCAAAATCTTCTAAGAAAGGAAAAGGTTTTGGAGAAGATGATCCTGTAAAAATGTTGCAAAATGTTGCAAAGAAGTTTGGCTTCAGCAATTTGAGTAGTAGGTATGACTTCCTTGCTATCTTTTAGTATGCCTACGCCAGAAAGTCTTCCTTTTCAATATTTGCTCCTGTTTGCTTTGCTTTCTTTTTATCCCCTACTGCTTCCTGTCTGTCCTCTCCCACTGTTTCCCTCTCCTGTCTACCCTCTTCTTTTGAAGCCTGAGGTACACAGATACATTCTGTCTGAATTTTCCAACAATCTGTTGGGCTGTTTTTTTTTTTTTAAAGATTTATTTTTATTATTATTTTTTTCATTGGAAAGGCAGATATACAGAGAGGAGAGACAGAGAGGAAGATCTTCCGTCCAATGATTCACTCCCCAAGTGAGCGCAACGGGCCGATACTATGCCGATCCGAAGCCAGGAGCCTCTTCCGGGTCTCCCACGCGGGTGCAGGGTCCCAAAGCTTTGGGCCGTCTTCGACTGCTTTCCCAGGCCACGGGCAGGGAGCTGGAAGGGAAGCGGGGCTGCCGGGATTAGAACCGGCACCCATATGGGATCCCGGGTGTGCAAGGCGAGGACCTTTAACCACTTGCGCCACCGCGCCGGGCCCTGTTGGGCTGTTTTAACTAGAACATTAGTGGGTTTCAGCACATTATGTTGTCAGTGTGTAGCAGAGATGTGGAATGGCAAGAAATGTAATATGCTGGGAAGTTCTTTGAGATTTATACAGTATATGCGTGCTAGGTCTCCTATTACAAGCTGCGACAAGTTGCACATGAACTTCAGTTTCTTTATAAAATGATGGGGATGATAATCAATTTGTATTGTTGATAGTATTTTGTCTTAACAGCATGTGTAAAGTGCCTAACAATGTCTGTAACATTGTAAGCCAGATTCTTCTGTCTTTTTAAAAGGTTTATGTGTTTACTGGAAAGACATATCAGCAGAGAGGGAGAAATGGAGAGAGCTAATTCACCTTTGAAATGGCTGCAGTAGCTAAGTCTGAGCTAGGCCTAAAACAGGAGCTAAGACCTCCACCCTTTGGGTCATCTGCTGCCTTTCCAGGCACCTTAGAGGAAAGCTGCATCAGAAACAGAGTAGCCAGCACTTAAACAAGCTCTCAGATGTGAGATGCTGGTAGTGGAAGTAGTAGCTTACTTGTTGTGCCACAGTGCTGACTCCTAGAATTTTTTCTCATTTGAAGGCATTTATGTTGTTTGTGGCAGCATAACCTTAGCTATAGCAATAGGAAGAGGGAGTAGTTTATAATGTGTTTTCTATTTAAAATGTAATATAACTTCATGCCATGACTTTGATTAGGTTTTACTTTCTTTGGGGGAGGGGGAGGATGGTCAAGAATGTCTGTTTTAAATACAAATTAAAATTGAAGATGGAGTTGGTACTGAGGCATAGTAGGCTAAGCTTTTGCCTGTTGTGCCATCATCCGATATGGGTGCTTGTTTAAGTTCTGGCTACTCTGCTTCTGATTCAGCTGTCTGCTACTGTGTCTGGGAAAAACAGCAGAAGTGATTAAGTGCTTGGGGGCCTGAACCCATGTGGGAGATCCCGAAAAAGCTTTTGGCTCCTTGCTTTGGATGGCCCAGTTCTGCCTTTTGCAGGCATTTGGGGAGTGAATCAACAAATGGAAGATCTCTCCATTTTCTCTCTCCTTTTCTCTTTGTAATTCTGCCTTTTAATTAAAAATCTATAAATCTTTTTTAAAAATTGAAGAAAAAAGATTTTTCTTGGAGGAAGATTTTACAGATATATTTCTAGAAAATAGCATGATTCTTTCAGACATATAGTTATTGTTGAATACTTGTTTATTTTGTTGATTTTAATTTACCCACGAATTCTTAACTTTTACCTGTTCTTGATAGGTTGGATGGAGTTCGATTTGAAAATGAGAAAATTAATGTCGTTGCCAAGAAAACTGGTAACAAACTGAAGTTAAGTCAGAAAAAATGGTAAGTTGGAAAATGAGGGTTAAATTTTTTGTATCTAGGTTTTGATCTTGGAAGTGTGGAAATAGAGCTTGTCTCATACACATATGAAGTGAATGTATAGACAGTTGTCCTCTTACCTTTTCTAGACTTCATTTTGGGGAGTTAGACTGTTGAAATAATGGATAAAATGTTAACTGCCCAATAAGATTTTGAGTGATATTGATACTGTCTAGTTACTTTCTGTGGAAGAGAGAAATTTTTTTTACTTGTTTGGATTTTATGTCTTATTCTGAGTAGAAAATATTTGCCTGAAAACCAAACTATACATTTTCATGATGATGATGCTATTCTCTTGAGTATAAATCTTTTCAATACTAAACATACCATCCTACTTATGCTTGTTAGTAATAGTTTTGAGTATAGGCATTTGGATTTTATAAGTGATAACCGAAGGGGAATGGAAATTGTGGAGGTGGCTTGACACAGAAATAGTTGTTTGAGTAAGTAAACTAGAGCTTCAAATATAATACTTCCTTTTGCTTTAGTAACATGTTGACTGAGATAAAAAAGCAAATGAGAAGATAGGCTTTTGAGTATTTTTCATTATCCAGTTCACTTTTCCCATAGTTTTGCTTTTAAGACTCATTACCTATCTCCTCTGAGGTGGAAGAGGATTAAGTGCAACCCACGATGTTTTTTAAATTTTTATTTCTTTGTTTATTTTTTGTGCACCAGGGGGCTTTATAACTAAAGAAACCATAATTACAGATGTTCCAACAACAGAAAGGATGGTCCAGCAAAACCATGTCTGCATTTCCGCCTGGCCTAGTGGCCCAGGCCCTTATCAACTGCTGCCCTGCAGTCCCCGTGCAGTCCCCAGTTGTTTCTGGCCCTGCTGAATAGGCTGACAGCTCCCTCCTCTGGTTCTACCACAAGCTTCCCTATCACCCACAATTTTAAGAAAATCTAGAAACCAATAGAATCTTGTTAAGGCAGATACTGTAACAAAGGTACTCTTTTGCTGAATTTATAAAGAAATGGTGCATGCTTCAATTAAATATTTTTCTTGTAGTTCATTTCTCTGTGATGTAACCATGAAATCAGTGGATGGAAAGGAATTTCCTTGTCATAAATGTGTTCTTTGTGCTAGACTTGGTAGGTACCCATTTTGTTTGCTACTGATTTATTTACTTTTTTATTGCTTCAGTATTCTTACTGCAGTTAATTTTCTTTCAGAATATTTTCATAGCATGCTGAGTAGCTCATGGATTGAGGTAAGATCTTAAGAGAAACTGCATAAACTGATTACTATTGTTTATTTTTGTGAAGTTAGAATTTGATTTTTAGTTTAGTTTTTTATTGTATTAAACTTTATGCTAAAGTCTGCTGGAAGATTATATTTAGAAGCTAAAATTGTTGCTAAAAAGCTACAGAATTTTCCCATTAATTTCAGATGTTGTGGGAACACCAGTGTGTTTCTTGTTTTCAGAGTTTTTCTTTGTCTTCAATATGAAAAGATGTTTTAAAAGTGAATATATCTCATTTTATCTTGGTTTTTATGAACATTGTAAATTCTGTTTTTAATATGATTTCTTGTTTACTGTTTTTCATTTGAATAAACTAAACTAGAATATGGTAATAGTTTATTTGATTATTTCCTTTCTTTTTCTTTAGGCTTCCAGTTGTGCAGCCCTGGAAATGCCAATACATTCTGAAATTCTGAAAGTTGTTTTGGACTACCTCTATACTGATGAAGCAATGATGGTTAAAGGTATAAATAACAAGATATTTTATCTGTACTGCATTTAACAGAATAATTTCATCAGCATGAATCATTTGGTTCTTCAGGTTCTACTCAATAATCTGTCAATAGTCTTGAGTTAGAATAAGCAGTAGAAACAATTTATGACAGGGAAGAAACAGAAAAAGAAATTTTCATGACCCATGAAAATGAACCCTTCAGGGCCCGGCGCGGTGGCGCAAGTGGTTAAAGGTCCTCGCCTAGCACGCCCGGGATCCCATATGGGCACCAGTTCTAATCCCGGCAGCCCCTCTTCCCTTCCAGCTCCCTGCCTGTGGCCTGGGAAAGCAGTCGAGGACGGCCCAAAGCTTTGGGACCCTGCACCCGCGTGGGAGACCCGGAAGAGGCTCCTGGCTTTGGATCGGCATAGTATCGGCCCGTTGCGCTCACTTGGGGAGTGAATCATCGGACGGAAGATCTTCCTCTCTGTCTCTCCTCTCTGTATATCTGCCTTTCCAATGAAAAAAATAATAAAAAAATAAATCTTTAAAATGAACCCTTCAAAAATATATTTAATTGTTAATTTGGCCATTCCATTTTCCATGACTTCTGCAGTTTATATTGATCAATGATCAAGCAAGAATATTTTTAAAAATATTCTTCATAAGTTCTTTCTTAACTGTATGTACTCCTCTCCACCCTGTGCTAACCTGTCAAATGTGAAAGACATAGACTAGGAACTAAACCAGAATTTCTTTTTTGGTTAGTATTTATTTATTTATCTATTTTTGAAAGGCGGATTTTAGAGAGAAGAGGGACAGAAGGTCTTATGTCTGCTGGTATATTCCCCAAGTGGTCACACTGGCCCGAGCTGAACTGTTCCAAAGCCAAGAGCCAGGATCTCCTGTGTGGATGCAGGGGTCCAAGGCTTTGGGTGGTCCTCCACTGCTTTCTCAGGTCATAGGCAGGGAGCTGGTCAGAAGTGGTACAGCTGGGACTTGGACTGGTGCCCATATGGGATGCTGTTACCATAAAGCAGAGGATTAGTGAGTTGTACCATTGTATTGGCCTGAACCAAAATTTCTGAGGAGTACATTTGTTTACTTTGTCAAGCAAACTACCAAGTTTCAGTAAGTAGGTATCTTTAGTTATTTGTGTATTAACAATGTTCTGTGGTATTCATTTAACCATTAGTTTTTAGCTGCAGCTGTGTGTTGGGGATTAAAAGAAAAAACTCCATATTGTGAAAAATTGTGGAGGTTATTGTGATTTTCAGATGGGTAGATTCCTGTTTTTCATCATATGTGAGGAATTTTCATCCACTGTTCCTGAAGATGTTCTTCCTACACTTTTTTTTCTCCTTCTGAATCCCCCATATGTATCTCGATAGGGTTAATGATGTTCCACAAGTCTCTTATCCTTTATTACTTTTCATCTCCGTTTTTTTCCTAATCCTTTCATTGGATAATCTCAGCTGGTCATTACTTTGTATCTTTTCACTGATGTTCTGGACATAATGAGACTTTAATGTGCACTTTTCTTTGGCTCTTTGTATATATTTAAAATAACTTATTTAAACATTGTCTAATATGTCCCTCCTCTTGATTTCCTCAGGGACAGTTCTGTTGGCTGTCTTTTCCCCTGCATGCGAGCCATATTTGCCTTTTTCATTACATCTCTGCATCTTTTGTAATATTTTTGTTGATAATTGGACATTTCAATAATGTAAAACTAAGAAGTCAAGTTCTCCCATGTCCTTAGGATTTTTTTGTTACTGTTTGTTTAATGGCTTTTCTGAAGTAATTCTGTAAATTCTGTGTTCTTTGTTACGTTTGGTTTCTGAACTTTCTGCTTGGTTAGTTTAGGATCAGCTAATAGTTGCACAGAACTTTCTGAAAGGCTTAGAACCATTCATATCTCCTGATCTTTGCCTAGAGGTTCTCTTTCTGTGTTGTGGTTACATTATTAATGTTCAGGCAGGCTGGTTATGAATCTGCTTTTAGCTTTTATTTCTAGCTGTGCAGAACCTCATCATAAGCCAGAAATAAGAGTTGGAGCCTTCTAAATTCTGTCTGAATATGTGCAATATCTCTCCATGTTTCTGTGGCTAGAGTCACAGGAACACCTTTAAAGTTTTCAGATTCCTGAGTAGGAACTGATGTTTTGTACATAGGTTAAACAGCTGCATGCAGCCTCAGCATCCCATATTGAAGTGTCAGCTGCCACGTGTATATCAGAGTGCTAGGTGCTGTTCTTCTGATCCAACTTGTTAATGTACCTGGAAAATGCAGAAGATGATCCCATTAACTAGTTGGACTTCTTGCCACTCGTGTAGGAGACCGTGTTGGAGTCCAAGCTTTTCAGTGTGGCCTAGTCCAGCCCCAGGCATTGTGGCCATTTGAAAAGTGAACCAATGGGTGGAAGATCTCTCCCTCTGTTTCTCTCTTTCTGCCTAACAACGTTTTAAGAAACAAAAACAATGCCAAAATATGTACCACCTTTGTAGTCCACTCCAGATGTTGTAAATGAAATGCCATATGTTAAATGTTTCTGAGAGCCAAATTTTCGAGAGGATATTTTGACAACTTTTTTGTTTTGTTTTGTTTTGTTTTGCTCTTATCCTGGCACTCACTTGTGTCCCCTGAGAGGACTCTACCCCAATCAGTTGTGACCCTTCCTCTGGGACCTCATTTAACCTTAATTGTATCCTTAGAGGTACTCACTGCAAACACAGCCACAGTGGCATTAGGGCTTCATCATGTCATTTTTGAGGGGGCTACAAAAATTCAGTTCCTCACAATATCACATTCCACAGCTTTTATTTTTAAATTGTTTCTTTATTGTTTGTTTTAGCTGTCAGTTGGATATTTGTTAAAACTACTGTTATCTTAGGTAACCTCAGTATTACTCAGTTGCTGCCTGTTGTTTTCAGTTCTCATCAGCCTAACTTTGAATTAGGTCAAAAGAAGTGGGCCCTTCTAGTGGGATTTCCAAGGAACAACCAGACAGGATAATGATGGTAGTTCTTCGTTGTTCCTCCTCCTCCATGGCTGATTGGCTGCTTGCTTTCACTGTAGTTATGACTTGTCAGTTTTCAGTACAGGTTAGGTTTCTGTTACTTGAAAGACTTGAAAGAGGAATTATTTCCTATTGTGAATTTTTAAAATTTTGTGATATTTATTTCATAATGAGCATATGGGGGCTGGACTCAATTATAAATGAGAAATTTATTTACAGATATTCTGGAGGTAATTTGGTAGAATATGTTTAGTATGATAGCACTTTGATCACATTAGATCAACATAGAATTTTCCTCTTGATGTGAACCTAGCAAATTTTGGACTTTGGAGCGTTTTATGTGTTGAATGTTGGGTTTAGAGATGCTGCATCTTATACTGCTGTGTAGGAAGGAAGAGAAAATTCTGAATAAGAAAATCTGCAATTTATTGTTTTCATTAATATTACCAGCTTTCTTGAGTAAACATGCCCCAGGGTGTTATAAGTCTTGGACTAATATCCATAATTCTGACAAAAATGATCTTGACAATTTTTGATAGTTTTCTCATTGCTTTTATGGAGGAAAGGAATTTGAAAAGGTTTTAGTTTATCATTTCCTTGATTTCACTAGTCCAGCATTTAAAAAGAAACTGTTTTCTACTTCAGTATGTGTGTGTCTGTGTGCCTACCGATCTACATAGTACATAAGAGTATTTGTGTGTGTAAAGATGTTGAGATTTGACTACTTCTTCTGTTTGAGAAATGTTTCTCTAATACAGTAAACTGTAACTAGTCAGACATTCTAGAAACTATCACTTTATGTTGCTTATGTTGGGCGTTTGATGGTGTGTTATTTTCTAGCCTTTTATCTAAGAAGTAGAAATATTTTGATATACTTTTTAGGATAGTTGCTAATTCAGCATTTAGAAAATCATTGTAATTTTCTCTCTACTGTGTATATTAATTCAAACTTTTCTTACTGGGTGTGATGTAATAAAGTAATCACTTGATTTTTCTTTTTTTTTGGTAGAATCTCAAAATGTGGATTTTATTTGTCGTGTTCTTGTGGTGGCTGATCAGCTTTTAATAATACGATTGAAAGAGATTTGTGAAGTGGCATTAACTGAAAAGCGTGAGTATTTTTGACTTAGAATTAGTAGGTTTTTTTCAAGTTGTTTCAGGATTAGTGTTTTACAGGTTTTTTTTGTTTTTAAAAGATTTATTTATTTTTTTATGTTGGAAAGTCAGATATATAGAGAAGAGGAGGGGAGAGAGACAGAGGAAGATCTTCCGTCCGATGATTCACTCCCCAAGTGGTTGCAATGGTTGGAGCAAAGCTAATCCGAAGCCAGGAGCCTAGAGCTTCTTCCAGGTCTCCCATACATGTGCAGGGTCCCAAGGCTTTGGGCCATCCTTGACTGCTTTCCCAGGCGAAGGATGGGAGCTGGAAGGGAAGCAGTAGTCACTGGGGACAGAACCAGCGCCAATATGGGATCCTAGTGTGTGCAAGGCAAGGACTTTAGCTGCTAGCGTACCCCGCTGGTCTGTTTTATAGATTTCATGCTTCCGTTATAAGCTACAATGCTATTTTTTTGTATCACAGTAAGTGGCAAAACATACTAGTTTTGACATGGCATCTTCTGTAACAAAATCATTATTTCAGAAATACTTGAAAATACTTATGTATCTTAGATTTGACATATAGTGTTAATTTGTGTTGAAATATCATGAGATCTTGAATAATAAGGATGGTAGCAAATTTATGATACTTTCAAAAGTGAGAGTTTGAGGCTTTTTTTTTTTCACCATTGCCATTATATTGGATGTAACTGTTGTTAACTACCCATTTCCTGTTGTTTGCTGGAGGTTTTGTGTAATCCTTTCATTAAGGTCTCAACAAATCAAATTTTTTTCTACAAGTGTTTTCTGTTATTTCACTTAATTGCATGACTATTTTCTTGAACATTTAACTTTGAATTTCAGAATTGTTTTTTTGTTATTCTTTATATTCAAATTCTTACAACAGTAAAAATTGATTCATCTTAATTCTGTGGGTGAAATTTTCCCTATTTTCATTCTCATTATGACTCTTTTTCATTCATTCTGTTCTGTCAAAAGTTGTTTATTGCTCTTTTCTGTCTCTACCTTTAATAGAAAGTAATTATGTTTTCTTTCAGTTAGATATTTTAAATTATTTATTCTAGAATAAAGGTTAAATTTTCGTAGTATGACATGTATTTTTTTTTCTGAATTTTATAATTGTTCTACTTCATCGGTTGCCTCAGGAAGTGTGAAGGAAGTTCCAGTCGGTTTTTTGAAATTTGTATGTATTAGAGTTTCATGTTTTTTTGGGTCTCCCACATGGGTACAGGAGCCCACACCATTGGGCCATTTTCTCCTGTTTTCCCAGGCACGGTTACAGGGAGCTGGATTGGAAGTAGAGCCTCTGTAACTTGAACTGGCACCCATGTGGGAGGCCAGCACTGCAGACAGCACCATGATTCACTGTGCCACAGCATCAGTCCCAATCTAATTTTATTTTTATGAGGTATGAGACATTGTATTCATCCTTTAAAATTTTAGGTTAGTTAGTAGTGAGACAAACCATTACTGACTATAGTTGCAGCTTCTGACAGAGTTGTAAGAGAGAGAAGAAAAAAGAAGAGCTATGTTCCTCTGTTGGGTGGGATTCAACGTAAGAAAGAAGAAAAATGAAAAGGCTCACAAAGCTGAAGTTAGATGCTTTGTAGGTAAAATATTCTAGAACAATATTTAACAAAGCAACTAAATCCAGACACTTGTAGTGTGTCATATGCTGTATTTTCATGAATAACATGTTATGATTTACATGTACTTATTTTCCAAGAATATATATTTGTATGTATGCAAATAAATTTTGATAGGTTATTCAGCATTAGTGTGTTTTACCAGTTTCTTAGTTTTAAGAAGTGTCTTTTTCAGTTTTGCTCTGTGTTATATGTAAGTGAGAAGGTTAATTATTCATGAATTAAAGTTTTTAGTATTCACGAATTGCTTTGTAGAAACTGGTTAGTTCTTGAATGTGTGATGGCACTAAACATGTATAGTTTGTTGCTTAAAATTTCTGTATATGTGAGCTTACGTTTCTTTACTTATTTTTTTAATTTACTTTGGTGTTTTGGGTTAGAAAATGAATTACTATATTGATTCCCGTGTAATTTTTTTGGTAAGAAAAATTTAGCTTTCCTTGTTCCAAATGTTCCAATCTTATAACTTCAGAAACAGATATTTTCACTTATGCTGGTACTATACCTTTCATCTAATTTGCAAATCTTTTTTTTTCTCCCTTTATAGTTACCCTTAAAAATGCTGCTATGCTACTAGAATTTTCAGCAATGTATAATGCTTTACAGTTGAAACTGTCTTGTTTACAGTTTATGGGACTGAATATGGCAGCTTTACTTGAAGCAAGGTAGGCAGCCTGCATATATGACTTTCACAAAAACTTGTATTATATGTAACAACATGTATGCAAGTAATGTAAAAGTGAATTGTAAGTCTTTGATGGAAAGAACTTGATAAATACTAATGGTATAATAGTCATAAACTTTGAATTTAAACACTTTTCAAAGTTGCAATGAGTTATTAATGAAAAACATACATTTATTTTTTAACAAAGTCAGGGTTATGCTTTTATTTGATATAAATAAAATGAGGAAAATGACAGTCTTGGTGAGCATAGGAATTTGAGATTAGAGTTCTTGGTGTCAGTTGGAGGTTTGTCTTGTTTATCCAGAATATGTATTTTGTTTCAATAATCGTAACAGGGATTGGAGACTTACTGTGTGTTAGTGTTCTAAAATGGTTTATAGGTTAATACAGTTAATTTTTGTGAAGATCTTGTGAAATAGATTGTACTAATATCCTTATTTTATAGATGAGAAACTTATTTGGCAAAAAAAAATCAAGAAAATCTTGATCCATGCAATAATTTTTTAACAATTCACTTTCAAATGTAGGATAATCTTGAATAAACTAATTTCAGAGCATTATAAAATAAAATAATTTTTTGAGATAAATGACCAACAAATTCTTTATATTTGTCAGGATTCAATTTAGATAAAATTATTTCACAGTTTAAGGCATTTATTTATGAAAAATGCTTTTAAGTACAACTTGGTACTACAAAATATTAGACTATGTCATTTTATAATGCCTTTAATATTTTAATATATGAATATGATAAATTAAGTTTAATGGTTCTGTACATGATAGTTTTATTATTCTACCTTGCCAAATTAAACTCCTTCAACTTGTCAGACAAGAATCAGTCAAAAATTAAGACACACCAACTCTAAAATAAGAGCTTGGAAAATGCTATTATCATACTACTATTTTTTCACTATTATTGTATGACCAGTTTTTTTTTTAAATGAATTCATTTAAGGATAGCTACTTTTGTTGTGATGTCTCTACTTTCATGATTTTACAAGAATAGATATATGTAACTTGAATTAAAGATTTGTACAAATGTAAGAAACAGTGCTGCACCAAAACTGACTTTGTGTTACAAGTTAATGTCTAATTGCCTAAAGTGTTGAAAACTGATATGGTGCACATATGACTATGCAAGCTTTTTGGTATTAATTTAGAAATAATTTAATATACACAAACATACACACACACACACTTTAGAATGTAAACTTCATTTAAAATTTTCACTGATATATTAAAGTACGCCTTTGGAACTTGAGAGATAATCAAAGTGTATCTTGAGTTCAACTGATGTAGTCCAAGTCTCATTTTACACACTTACCAGCTAAGGCTCACAGTGACATGTTTAGTGTCATAGGTAATTTATGACATTGATAATTTTAGGTAGACTCAGGTATCTTGAAACTTGGGTCATAGTACTTCTTCTATAATTGAAGATTATAGTTTGTAGAGAATGAAGGTTGGGAAATTCATACCTATTACTTTTTGTAAAGATTTGTTTTTTAAATTTTTATTGGAATGTCAGATAATACAGAGAGGAAGATCTCCTCCCCATGCGGCCTCAACAGCCAGAGCTGTGCCTATCTGAAGCCAGGAGCCCAGAGTCTCCTCCGTGTCTCCCATACAGGTGCAGGGTCCTAAGGCTTTGAGCCATCCTTGACTGATTTCCCAGGCCACAAGCGGGGAACTGGATGGGAAGTAGGGCTGCCAAGATTAGAACTGGCGCCCACAAGGGGTCTCAGTGTGTTCAAGGCAAGGACTTCAGCCATTAGCCTACTGCGCTGGGCCCGTACCTATTATTTCATTATGATAAAAAAAGTTTCTTTGTACTTTATTCATGAGTTACCTGAGTTTTATTTAGGGTGTTTTTCTGATATGTTTTGCTCTTTACTTGAAGCATCTAACAAATACCTATTACTGTTTCCCAAAAGAGTTTGTAGCAACTACTATATACATATGCTTGAAAATAATTTTGCTGTTTGCTTGGACGTATGCAGTATCTCCATGTTTGACGATCTTCAGTAGTAGTAAGTCAATGAGTCTTAAGAGGGAAAATTGTATTTTATAGGTCTCTTGATGTTTTAAGTGAGGCTGTCTTAAAGGATCTTTCTGCATTCTATCGAAAAATGGTGAGTTTTTTGTTTTTTCTCAGTTGCAACAATATTACTGTATGTCTGAGGTAGTGTATTAGATAAGATCATTTTTTAAAAGATTTATTTATTTTTATTAGAAAGGCAGATTTACAGAGAGAAGGAGAGACAGGAAGGAAGATCATCCATTTGCTGGCTCACTCCCCAGTGGCCAGAATGGCTTGAGCTGAGCTGAGCATCTTCTGGGTCTCCCATGTGGGTGCAGGGTTCCAAAGCTTTGGGCTGACCTCTACTGCTTTCCCAGGCCACAAGCAGTGAGCTGGATGGGAAATGGAGCAGCCAGGACATGAACTGGCACCCACATGGGATCCTGGTGCGTTCCAAGAGAGGATTTTATCGCCTCTAAGCCATCGTTCTGAACTAAGATAAGACTTCTTAATAAAGTAATTTTTTAATGAATTCTAGTGTATTAGAATCTTTTTAAAGAAAGGACATAAAGTTTCATTCAAATCTCTTAGATAAATGTAAGTCATATTAAAGTTATTTAGTGATAAAATTAGTATCTACTTTAGTTTCTTTACTGACATTTACTGAGAAAGTCTTTCATTATTTGCTAGATATCAGGATGGTAGTAAAATGTAATAAAGTGGCACCTTTTTTTTTCTTCTGCCAATTTCATATGAAAAAAGATGTAATGAAGCAAATTTAGTTTTTTCCTTGACAATTTTATTAATCCATATGCATTCTAGACTTTTTCTATTGAAAATACCGTATATGAAAACAAATGGTGTATTTTATCTAATTGAAGAATATTTACAAACACATCTTCAATTCTATAGATTCCAGCAATGGATAGGAGGATCATCACACCCTATCAAAATGGGCCTGATATTAGCTATTTGGAAGCAGAAGATGGAGATGTCTTTTTGAAAGAAGAAATAAACCTGGAACAAAATTATTTGTAAGCTCCGTTTCCTTTCTTTTCCTGATCTCCTTGTTTCCTTCTCTTCCCTCTCCCCCTTCATCTTAAATGCATAACACCTTTGTTTTGACAGTGGAAGAAGAAATACAGATATTTCGGCGTTTGTACTTAAGTTCATTAGCTTCTGTAAAATACCTGTTAAATGTACTGCTAATATTTTCAGATCTAACAAAGTTAAAATGTAAATACAGAAGGAATGTAGCATTTAACTTAAACATGTTGTATTAAATAAGTATGTTTATCTGAGCTACCTTCCTCATATTTGTAGATAGAATTACAAAGAAATTTGGAAGTGTATTTTCTAGAGCTGAGAGAACAAGAAAGAAACTAACAGTATTCAGGGGATGATATCTGGAAGTTGGGAAAGCGATTTGCCCCATATTAATATAGAACAGCAAAGGTAAAACATTTTTAGAAATGCTTGAGAATTAATGGTACCAGATTAAATCTTTTGATGATGTTTGCATAGTTGATCTGAGTGGGAAGGGTTGAGGAACATGGAAAAGTGGATTAGGCCATTGTTATCAAATGTTTTTTTCCTTCCTCCTGTGTCTGGGGGAGAGAGGAAGTTAAGTGGAGAAGCCAAACCCAGCTTCCCAACCACTGCAGTACCCAGAGATGGAGAACAGCCACCCACCATCATCCCAGAGTCCTCAATGTAGAGCATGATCCAAGGGTTCTGCTTAAGTGAATTCAGTGGTTCCGAAATGTTGTCAGTTTTGCCAGTTCAATGAAGAGGAGGAAATCCTTTCAAGGTTCACTAATTGACAAAGTCCACCTTGGAGTCTGCATTTGCCCCCAGATACTTGCTGTCATCACTTGGCTGGGGTAGATGTCCAATTTGCTCTGCCTTCCTTTCTCTGCTGTGGTACCAGATGTCCTCTGGAGACCCCAGTGAGCTGTCATATCCTCCATGTGCATCTGGACATGCTATCTATTGCTCCATCTTTCCCACTGAGCAGACCCAGTTATGACACATGCACTTCATGTTCAGTCCACTGATCCTGCAGTCTCCCCATGGTTGAAGTTCTGAGTCCAACAGTTCCATTGGGGGGAGGGATGGGGGCGGAAATTCCCAAAGAACCTTATTTGACATGATCCCAGACCCGATTCTTGTGTGTGCTTGCCAGTACGGAGCCCATCCCTTGTCTTTACCTATATCAGCCTAAGAACACACTGCTAGTTGCAGTTACTGGGCCAGTTCTGTCTCCAGCTCCATTTTTGCACAAACCAATAGGTACTGTTGTCCAGTCCAGCCCAGCCCACCACACACTTGGCCCTCATGTACACCAGTGGACACTACAGCCTCGTGGAGTGATCCCCAATAACCTGCACCAGGCACATCCCCAGCCCTGATTCCTGTGCTTGCCAGTATGTGCAGCAAACTGATCCAGTTTGTCCCATATCCCATTCTGTTCTCGTACATACCAATGGGTGTTAGAGCCTAGTTCAAACAACTGACACTGATATCCAGCCCATACTCTTGCCAGCAGGATCTACTACCTGTCTGGCCAGGTTTCTCCCCACCCGTGGTTCTCATGCTCATTAGTGGGAGTTGCAGCCCATCACAGAAGTGCCCACAGTTTTCCTACTGGGCCCACTTCCAGTCCTGGATCATGCGCTCTCTAGGTGGTTTTGCAGTGTAGCTTGGCAGGATCTGCCCCCCAATCCCAGCACTTGCCAGCTGATGCTGTGGCAAAGCCCAGTCAGCCTGAATGTATTCTGGCTCATGAATGCACCACTGGATATGTTTGGTTAGCCCAACCTGGCTCTCCCCATTAACTCAGTTCACATGTACTTCAGTAGGTGTTGCAGCCCTGCCCAGCCTGGTCTGCCCCCAGACCTAATTCTAATGCTCACTGTGGGGGCAGTGGTCCAGTAGAGGAGCCCACACTGCCCACCTACCAAGCTTGTACCCTATCCCAGGTCTCACATGTGCTGGTAAGTGCTGCAGCCCCATCTGGTATAGCCCACCTCACCTCAGCATTTGCTGGCTGGTGCGGTAACCTGGCCCAGCTAGGTATGCGCCTGATTCTAGCTCATGCTGGTGGGTGTTGCAGCCTAACCTGCCTCCCCCAACCCAGTCCTGGCACTAATGTGAACTGGCTGTTGCTGCAGCCCGACCTGGTCTGTCTTGCACCTCATCCAGGTTCTCAGATCTGCCAGTTGGTGTTATGAACTGGCCCAGCTTTGTTCCCAGATCTGACCCACACGTGCATGGACAGATACTGTAACCTAACCTGATCTGGGCTGTTCTTTGTCATGTTTCTTACACTCATCTGCTGGTACTACATCCTGACAGGAGTTCCCCAAGATCCTCTATCAGATCTCCTCACTGGCAAAGCTCACACATGCCGGTGGGTCTGTGGTCCAGCTTGACTTAGTCCACCTCCTGTCCTGGCAGGAACAGTGGTCCTGCCCAATTGGCCTACACCCTTTCTGGTTCATACAGTTCGGTGTTACAGCCCAGCCACACCTAGTCCATGTCGATAAACAGCTCTCTTGTGTTTCAGCGGGAATTGAGATGTAGACCAGTGTAGTCTACACCTACCCCGACTCACAGCACCAATGGGTACTGGAGTCTGGCCCAGTCTGACACACCCCAGATCCAGTCTACACTCATGCCTAAAGACACTACAGTCATGTCCAGTGAAGATTGCCACCCCCATTCCGGCTTGGTGCTCATCAATGGCAACCATGACCCAGCCAGGGTATTCTCCTTGTTCCCCAACCAGGCCTGTTCTAGCCACAGGTCTTGTGCATACCAGCGGTTGCTCTGACCTCACTTGATGTAACCCATGCCTTGTCTTTACCTTTGCCATTGGATGCTATAGCATTGCCTGTCCTGACCCACCTGCAGTCCCAGCTCTCACTGGCAGGTGCTGCAGCCTGGCCCTGCCCAGTCTGCTCCTATAATTGTTCACGCAAACAGGGTACCAGATTAATTGAGGCTAGAGTCAGTGCTTGGATTGACGAGGCATTAGCTCTTCATCTTTTCCACACTCCCTTCAACCAATAGATTGACCCTTCTCCATCCCTTTGAAGACCAGTGAATTGAATTGTCCTCCAGAGGGTTTGATGGGGTGCACCACTCATAGGTGAGGTACTGCTTTGAAAAGATTCCAGTTCTTCTATTTGGTTTCTAAGTTAGTTCATTTCTTGAAAAAGTTACTTTGTTTTTTTTTTTTTTCCTAGAGAAACTACCTTCAAGAAGGCAAAAACAAAAGCTAAAAAGAAACCACGTAAGCGTTCAGACAGTTCTGGAGGATATAACCTTTCAGACATTATTCAGAGTCCACCTGTTACAGGTTAGTAGAATGTATTTTAGTATCAATTTGCAGTTCTATGCATTAATATCTCTATTCATTATCTACTTAATTTAACATGCGTTAAATACTATGTATGTGTGATGTGCTAGGCACTGTTAAAATGGATTATAGTCCACATAGAAGCTTCAGAAAGTCACAATGGTGTATTAAGATAAACACTGTAATTGAAATAAAGATTTCTTTGCTTTTGGAGTTCAAGAGTTCATGAGGCCAAGGATAGGGAATACTTCTTAGAGGAAGGATATATCTGGATTTCATTTTTGAAGAATGAAGACAAATTAACAAAGAATAGGAGACAGATGGATGTACTGCAAAGGAGGCAATGTGTGCTGAAGCCTAGTGACAAGAGAATGAACTGTATGTTTTGTGTGTGTATAGTTCAGCGTGGGTCAGCTACATAAATGTATGCAGATAAGAAACAGGTTGAATGGAGTCAGTGTTTAGACTAAGGAAAATGAATTTCATTTGAAAGGCTATGTGTGGCTGTTGATGAGATTCTCAAACAGTGTGTAACTGGCATTGAGGGTAGATTAAAATATGACAAATCATGACAGTGATCCTGTTATTATGTTGATTCAGTTCAAAATTTCAAATGTATCAGTGCTTCTAACCAAAGCACTATGTGTCTGTGTGAAAGGGTTATTTCTAATAGTAGAATGCAACACATTTTGTATCTAGTCATTTTGTGAGTCTGAATGTAATGATTAAATAATTAAAATTCTTTTTCCAGGCTTTTACTTTGAAAATCTTTTACAGAAAAGATGAAAGGAAAATATTAACAACTATATCTCTAACTACCTTAATTATTAACCTCTAATACTTGCTTTTCATTGTTAGCTTTCTAGAAGTTTCTTATTGTCTCCTCTTGGCTCCCAAACATTCTGCACAAATATAGTTTTTTTTTTTTTTTCAGCTAATTCACATGGCATGAAATCTCTGCATAATATACTTTCCTTAAGCACTTCAATTTGAATCTCCTAAGGATTAGAGTGTTCCCTAGACAATCAAAACATTTATCATACTTATGACATACACACTCATTCATTAGTATTATCTACTTTTATAGTCCATATTTGTATGTACCTAATTACTCAAAAAATATTTACAACCTTTTTTTGTTTTAACCTAAAAAAATCCTTACATTTCTTTAAGACGCACATCTCTTTTTCTTATTAATATCCCTTTAGTTGCTAAACTAGAGTGATTTTTTTTTAAGTTCAGTGAAACTGCAGAAATCGAACCATGGCTTTCAGAAATGATGGATATTCATTCATCTATATGAAGATCTACTTCATATAGTTTTAAATCAATAGTTCTTTCATAGCTGATCAGCCCAATGCAAGAAAGTTTGAAAAATAGAAATGTATTTTGTTCTTTGAAAATTACAGCTATGGGCCCAGCTCGATGGCGCACTGGTTAAGGTCCTCGCCTTGCACGCCCGGGATCCCATGTGGGCGCTGGTTCTAATCCTGGTAGCCCCGCTCCCCATCCAGCTCCCTGCTTGTGGCCTGGGAAAGCATTCGAGGACGGCCCAAGGGTTTGGGACCCTGCACCCACGTGGGAGACCCAGAAGAGGCTCCTGGCTTCAGATTGGCTCAGTTCCAGCCATTGCGGCCGCCTGGGGAGTGAATCATCAGACAGAGGATCTTCCTCTCTGTCTCTCCTTCTCTCTGTATAATATCTGCCGTTCCAATAAAAATAAAATGAATCTTTTAGAAAAAAAAATATAGCTATGTAGGGCAAAAAAGGAATTATTAAAAATTACAGATGAAGTACTTGACGTGTACAATTATGCTCAAACAATAATTATTATCAAGAATAGTTCTTTTAGGTAGCCAATATGATACAAAAGATATAGGCAGTATACATGCATTGATTTATGAAACACTAAAGCTAACAATCAGGAAACTTGGTAAAGAAAAAGGTGTTTATTTGATTTGTTTTAAATTACATTGTTGTTATCATGTGTGTTAGAATATTAAGATTTCAGATCTGGAGAAGAATAATAGTGATGAAATAGTTTATGCCTTTACAACAGGAAGAAAGATGAGAAAAACCTAGGTGATTTGAGATAATCACACAACAATGACATCAATGTCTTGGAATTGCTTTTTTGACTCCAGATTTGTATTCTTTCTAGTGTACCATTCTTTTTTTGGCCAAAACATATAATGATACAAAGATTAACTTTGGATAGGGTTTTAGCCAGCCATATAAGGCCCTTGTCTCCTGCATCAGAGTAGATGGGTTCTGATACTGACTCTAATTCTCTGCTAACACAGGCCCAGGGAAGCAGTGGTAGTGGCCTGAAATAACATAGTCCTTGTCCCCCTGTGGGAGACTTGGATTGTATTCCCAGCTCCAGGCTCGACTCCTGCCTCACCCCCACCATTATGAACATTTAGGGAGTAAACCAGCGGGTGAGAGGACTCTGTGTCTCTTTTTTATGAGTCTCTATATAGACATATATATACACACACATACATATATTTTAATTATTTTATTGCACTTGATCTTAGCCAAAAGGCCGAGAAGCAATAAATTATTTTATTTATGAAGATGAACAGATTTCATGTAGTTAGATAAATGACAATCTGGAAGCCATTTTGATGAAAAGTAGTTTTTGACCATTTTGTCTGTTAATTCTTTAGATTTATTTTAATTGACCCTTTTGGATGTTCCAACATTAGATGTAATTTCATAGTGAAAACTTGTCTGTTTTTAAAACACTCAAATGGTAGTTCTGGGGAAAAACATTTTAATGTTGTCTCCAAACTTCATATCAGCCATGAAAATGGCTAAAGAAGCATATGTAAAAGTAATAACACTTACTGGTATGTGAAGGAGATATCTATTTATTTTTAAATATACTATACATATTTTAGTTGGTTTAGATTCTAACATTTGAAATGATGAACAAATGAAACTAGATGGAAGTTTTCTTTGTACTTTTGTTATGTGTGACATGGCTGCTGTGCTCGTGAACCTGCATGCTAAGTTTGACGTGGAAGCATGCATTTATCTTGTGTAAGAGCTGTAATGATACATACATTCATAACAACTCTGCTGTTTACAGGTGCTCAGCTAATCAAAAACAGCTCTCATTTGGCAGAGGTTTTTTTTTCAAAAAATGGAACTTGAAATAAACTATAATTAGTTTTTGTAAGAACCTCTGCTACTGGACTAGCCTTCAGGCTAACAGTGGCCATGGTGCTTCCTTCCATGCCTGGCACAGCCAAGTACTCTTTGAAATGAGAAAGAGAAAGGAGAAGAATCTGAAGTACATAAATTTATTTCTCATTATCTTTTATGGGAGAAAAATTAGATGTTGAAGAGCTGTCTTCCTCAGGTTCATTGCATAATTAGCATGTGAATATTATGAGTAAAACTATGATTTTACAATCTCCCTTTTAGTTTTTTATTTAAACTATTTCTTAAGCTAGTTTGTATTAAGATTTTGGTGTAGTAGATCAGGGGGGAACCCAGAGTGGAGCATGCGGACAGGAGGAGACTTGTATCTCAACCCTGGAGACTCCCAGATTCTCACTAAGGAATATCAGTAGGGGCACCAAGGACTACATCCCAACTGCCAAGGAGACCCTGGGGAATTGGAGTGCCTTCAGAGGCCGAGAACTCTGAGGTCATCCACTCCCGTTTGAATCTCCCACATGGGATGGATTCTTCCCAAATCCTTCCTCACAAGGCCCAATGTCTCTGGAACAACAGCCAGGAGCCTTCAGTGGTCCGCAGAAACAGTAAACTTCCTTCAGGACTAGGGAGAGAATTTTCTCTGGTCCTTACTTAGTTCCAACTTTGGATCCCTACCCACACCTGTAAAGACCATCAGGGTCGCTCCAGACTTCCCCCTAAAAACAACAACAAGAAAACTAGAATAGATAGAGAACAACAAGGAAAGCTTAAAACCAGACAGGAAATGGTCAGCATGGACTCGCATATACCTTACTAGGTAGGACACGAAAGTAAGTTACTCCTCACTGGGGTATTGAAGATACTCTCCTAAAACTGTTCTGCGCCTCAACTGTTGGCATATTCCTTGTTAGAGTTATAAGCCAGCTTAAAGTATCTATCATAAAATCTGCCAAGTTCAGTAAAAATTATGCTTCAACACTATAAACTGCTAAATACAAAAATGAAAATAGACACGAGACAGCTGAATAGTACCCTATAGCCATTTTAAGGTGTATAGCAACCGGTTGTGTATACACCAAAATAAAAATATCAATGAGTTAGTCACAGGATGTGGTTAAGAACTTGCATTTTCTAACATATCAGACACTCAATAATACCATGTCAATTAACTCCATACTGTTGTAAACTGTTGTTGATGTTATGTTGTGGCTTTTAATTGGTCGGGATGATATTCTGCCAGTTCTACTTTCAGACCAGAAATGGTCTCCCCAAGAAACTGTTGAAATTTTCTGGACAGTAAAATGCTGGATTCTGTGCATAGTACATGCTTGCAATGAAAGACTCATGACTGGATTTGAACTGTAATACTGCAATAAGGTGGAGTAATCCACCTTGGGGGTAGGGTTTGGGGAGGGGTTGGGGGAATCTCAGAGCCTATGAAACTGTGTCATAAAATGAAATGTAATTAAAAAAAAGATTTTGATGTAGTGAGTATAGTTTAAATGTTACTAAATCTAGATAAATGGATGTTTTAGCTTTCTACTTAGCTAAATATAATGCATATGTTTAATATGTATTTAGTTCTGTTTATTAATTCCATGTTTTAGGTTTATTAAAGGCTGATAAAACCAGTTCTGTGGACTCCCTTCCAGATCTGTTGACGTCAGACTCTGAAGGAAGCTATGCAGGAATGGGTAGTCCTAGAGATTTACAGTCCCCGGATTTTACAACAGGATTTCATTCAGATAAAACTGAGGTTTGTTTCCTACAAGCACTTTCCTTACCTTCAGTCTTTAGTGAGGCTGATAGTTTATCTTTGGTTTTTCATTAACTTTGGTGTAACTTTAAAACACTTTCTAGTTTGTTTTTGGAGAAAGTATAACTAATTATGTAAAATTTGTAGTGTTTTCTGAAATTTACGTAATGTTTCTGATTTGAGGATTTTAATAGCAGTTTTTAGCTCTTATTGGCAACACCATCTAGACATGTTGAAATATATTTATAGATAAGTTAATGAAATGTGGTTTCTGAAATGTTAATTAGGTAAGAATTAGTTAACTAGATAAAATGTAGTAAAGAAAATTTATTCTAAAAGTAATTATTTTCCTTTATGGTGTCATTTTAACTCAGGTAAAATAAGCTGGAATGCTTGAGTTCCAGTTTAACACAATTCACATTAAACTATGGAATTCCCACTGTAATCAGCTCTGAGGAGGGCATTTGTAGATATTCGTTAACATTTTATTCTGTTGTTATTACTTTGTAAGGACAGAAAATATCCACCTTATTCAGTAAAGAAATAATATTTTTCTCTAACTCTTGCACATGTACAGAATGTATTGGAGCTGTTAGAAAAATGGAGATATGGAAATTTACTTTTGGAATTTTCTAACTCTCCTTTTTTAATGCTTCGTAGAGGTTTAAGGATCATTCTTATTCATGTAAGGTTAATTCAAAGACAGTTTAGATTTAAAGCAGGATTGAAGGTTTATTGTGAATATCCTGCATTAATACATTAATCAGTTATAGCACTGGAAATGCCATTTTAGTAATTTGTCCAGTTAGAATAACAGTAAAGTTCCTTTTGAAGTGTCAGTATTATTTCATTTTATTGAGAGTTCTTAAATTGTATTCACGGTGACGTAGATGTCTTTTATCGCAAACTTTGATTTCTTTCATAACAAGGTCATGGATAAAAGTTTTAAACTATTGGTTTAGGGCCTGGCGCAGTAGCATAGTGGTTAAGGTCCTTGCCTTGAACATGCTGGGATCTCATATGGGCACCAGTTCTAATCCCAGCAGCTCCACTTCCCATCCAGCTCCCTGCTTATGGCCTGGGAAGGCAATGGAGAAGGGCCTAAAGCCTTGGGATCCTGCACCCACATGGGAGACCCGGAAACAAGTTCCTGGCTCCCTCCCAGCTTGGAATCGGTACAGCGCCAGCCATTGCGGCCACTTGGGGAGTGAATCATCGGAAGGAAGATCTTCTCTGTCTCTCCTGCTTTGTACATCTACCTTTCCAATAATATAAATAAGTAAATAAAATTTTTAAAAACATCTTGTTTTATATTTTATTTGTACAAAATTTATTGGTTAACCTTTTTTATTGTATAAATAGAAATCTGATGTATAAGCTTGTTTCCTACAAATTATTCTGAAAGCTCAAAATGATCAAGTTCTAGTCAACCATGTGAAATATGATTGAGAATTGAAGCATTAAGTCATAGAAGAACATAAATTTGAAATGCTAGATAATTTAAGTCAGAATATTTTGCGAGCCAGTGAACTAGGTGCCTACTATCGTTTTTATTCCATATTTTTCTTTCCTCCTCCAGGGTAAAGTTAAACCATGTGTCAATGGCACACCTCCCGCTAATTCTAGGGAAGATTTAAAACCCGGGGGGAAATCAGCAGGACTTAAAATATCTGCTCCACAGCCTATTCCCAGTGACAGGATTGATGGTACAACCTCGTCTAGTTGGGTTACTGGCTCTTTCAGGTAAGATTTTCATTTTGTTTTGATGTGTTAGTCTGGGAAATATTTATTTTTAATTAAATGAAACAGTTATACACATTAGGAATATATTAATGTACTCATAGATTTCTGACACACACACACAAAGTTAATTTGTATCCCAGTTATGCTAGGCTATTCTCCAGTCCAGACAAAATTTAGTTCCTTTTTAATTATCATCAATGAATATTAGCAAGTGCTGTTATTTTCATATAAATAGGTCATATATATATGTATTATATATGGGAATGTAAATAGATGTGTGTGTGTGTGTGTGTGTGTGTGTGTGTGTGTGTGTGTGTGTGTGTATTCCTAATTAGCCAGATTAACAGTATAATAGATCTTCCATCCACTGGTTTACTCCCCATATTGGTACGATTGTCAGCACTGGGCTAAAGCTGACGCTAGGAGCCAGGAGCTTCATTCAGGTCTCCCACATGTGTGGCAGGGGCCCAAGTAGTTAGGCCAAGCTTTTCCCAAGCCATCTGCAGGGAGCTGGAGCAAAAAGAAACAGTGTCTACATGGGAGGCTGGCATCACAGTTGCTGACTTTGCTTGCTACACCATGATGCTCATCCTCCAAATGGCATTATAGCTGTTGAGTCAAATAGCTTCCCCTGGAATATATTTAAAATTTGTGTTAATAATAGCTTAGTCAATGTCAACAATGTAGATTGGCTTTTATTTTTGAAAAGTGATAAAGTCCTTAGCACTGTGTAATAAGTATTCACCATGTTAACATATACACAGGTAATTCTGCATTCTTTCTAAAGTGTTATCTAGGAAGAAGAGTAAGTATTATTTCTTTTCAATACGAAAGAATAATAGGCCCAGCACTGTAGCCTAGCAGTTAAAGTCCTTGCTTCCATGTGCAGGGATCCCTTATCAGCACCAGTTCGTATCCCAACCACCCCACTTCCCATTTAGCTCCTTGTTTGTAGCCTGGGAAAGCACTGGAGGATGGCCAAGGCTTGGGACCCTGCACCCACGTGGCAGACCTGGAGGAAGCTCTTGGCTCCTGGCTGTTGCGGTCACTTGGGGAATGAATCAGTGCATGGGAAATCTTCTCTGTGTCTCCTCCTCTCTGAATAACAGACTTTCCAATAAACAAATTAGTAACTATTTTTAAGAAATAATAATTTCTTTTTAAGATGTAATAATATAACTGATTTCTAACCATAAATTTCATTGGATCATAAATTGCCTATTTCTAAAAAGTGTATTTTTTGTTTGTTTATTTGTTTATGGCTCAGCTCCTTCAAAAGATCTCCAGTATTATTGAACATCCCCCAGATTTTTTGTTTTAAGTGTTTGTTACTATTCAGCAGTAGCAAGAACTTTCTTTGCTGAAAATAGGATATAATTCTCAAGCTTCAGTTATGCCCCAGAATATTCTTTTACTTGTAACTTCTTCTGCCTGGTTTACATAGTTGAAGAATCTTTCTGTTGCCTGAACTTTGAGTTACATTATGTTTGACTCTGGGTGCATTGTATTATTTTACATATGTGTATGGAAAACTAGCTCTCATTCACAATATCCCCTTTGAGATTGGTTTTCAGTGACAAAATAAAATCTATGGTTTCATTTTTAAGTCTTCCTTAAAATGTAGTTTCATTGTAGTTTGGAGATTGTGGTTTAGAGCTAACTGAATAAAGTACCTTATAAAGTACCTTTTTTATGTGTTTTAGCCCAGTAAGCCCTCCTGTTGTGGATCTCCGAACAATCATGGAAATAGAAGAAAGTAGACAAAAATGTGGAGCTACACCAAAGTTAAATCTGGGGTTGGTTAAAAACTCACTAAAAGAACTGTGTTTTATTATAATTTTGTGCCCCAAAGAAATCTATAGACTAGCTGCATCTTTGCTATTAGTTTTCTGTGTTTTATTCTATGCTTAACTGTAAATCCTCTTCTAGGTATTTTAGCTTTCTTTATTTCTTAAGTATATTGCTAATAAATCAAGGTGATAGACTTGTTCTTGTGGTATATGGTATTATATACCAGAATGTACCTCTGAAAAGATCATTGTCATTAGTTCTTAAGAAATTAAGCTTTGCACAAGTGTTGCACAAATTCCTCCTGACAAGTGGGATATATAGGAAAATTTGTATTTGATTTTACTTGAGTATTAAGATTTTACACTGATATTGTCACAGTTGAAACTTAAGATCATTTTGATTCAATAGTAGCAAAGTCACACCAAATAAATGGAAAACATTATTTTTACTTTTAACCTCATTAATCAGAAATGAGTTTTAATTGATCTAATTTAATTTCTAGCAAAGTGATTTCTCATGGAATTAAGCTTTCTCAGAAGCAACGAAAAATGATTGCATTGACTACCAAAGAAAACAGTTCAGGATTGAACAGTGTGGAAACAGTTTTAACTCCTCCTTCAAAACCCCCTAAACCAGCAAATGTGTGGTATGTTTTCATTTTTATTGATATTTACATAGATCTGTGCATCAGTTTGTAAAATATTTCTAGACTTTTTAAACCTCATTCTCTGTCTCTGCTGTATTTCCCAAGTCTTCAAATATAAGACCCACTTCTTTGCTTTGAAGTTAGCACTTTTTTTTTGCTTTTTTTTTTAAAGATTTATTTTATTTGTATTACAAAGTCAGATACACAGAGAGGAGGAGAGATAGAGAAGATCTTCCATCTGATGATTCACTCCCCAAGTGAGCACAATGGCCGGTGCTGTGCCAATCTGAAACCAGGAGCCAGGAACCTCTTCCAGGTCTCCCGCACGGGTGCAGAGTCCTAAAACGTTGGGCTGTCCTCGAATGCCTTCCCAGGTCACAAGCAGGGAGCTGGATGGGAAGTGAGGCTGCCGGGATAAGAACCGACGCCCATATGGGATCCCAGTGCGTTCAAGGCGAGGACCTTAGCCGCTGGGCCACACTGCCGCCGGGCCCGCCCTTTGCTTTTTATCTTACTTTTGGATGTTTTGATATCCACATTTGAAAATCATAATATATATGTATTTTTCCTACATATATAATTTTCTTGATATCCTAATTAGTTTATCTTGCTGAAGTTATTTAAATTATTTTAATTTCTCATTTTCTTATAAGAACTACTCCTTAGGCATGTTGGGCATTTGACCTAGCAGTTAAGATACTAGTTAATATACCCACACCACAGTGCCCAAGTTCAATTCCCAGATCTGTTTTGGATCCTTCATTGGCATTTGTTCAGTCCTCTTGTTTCCATCAAAGAAAGAATTCAAGGAGATATAAATGTGTACAGGAAAGTAGGATTTATTTGAAGCAAAGTAAAAGTATATATTCAAGAAGTGTGGGTAAAGTTAATAGCAAGAATAAACAAAAGGAATAAAAGGAAAACGCACAATGATTGGATTATACTTTTGAGAGGCATGAGATTTGTGTCTGGGATGTAGCTTGATGGAAGACATTAAAGGGGTAAAGTTTGGAAAGGAGCTTGAGTACTAACCTTTTTCCATTTCTTCTTGTAAATCATGGTGTCAAGTGCGTAACGGGAGCAGGAGTACTGTCCATGATAATTTTATTATAGTGACATTATAGTGTTCTAAGGTCTTCACATGGACATAATCTGCAACTGTATTGGATATTTCCAACTGACATTATTTCTAAGTTTGCAGCATTGCAGAATTTGTGAGTTCTGCTATATGGAAGGTGGTGGAGAGGCTTACTGTTGCATGGAAGACAAGTTTAGTTAATGTACAGAGAGAAAATTGGGCACAAAAGGGAGTTCAGATAGTATAGGCTAGACTGTCACTCTGGCTGGATTGTCAGGGGCCAACTGTGGCTATTGTGTCTGCTGGCAACAGCTGCTTTATGGACTAGCTGCAACTGATGTCACATGGGCCTTGCTGCCACATAAGTGACTAGAGCTTTCACAAGGCAGGTCAGCTACATCTGCTGTCAGCACTGGCTCTGCGTTAGCTTGTGGACTGGCTGCAGCTGTTAGTCTTAGGTCCTATAGGTTCACACCTGAGTGCATCATTCCCTACATTGGAGATTTTTGTCCTTTAGTCTTAGTGAGAAGTCAAGGAAAGAAGATCCATCCTCTGTCACTTCTTTAGGCAGTGCCAGGTGATTATCTCTGCCTAGTCAGGGAAACAAATTCCTTTCTCACTGATCTAGAGATCATAACCATTGCTTTGGCATGGAACTTACTGAGTTCTGGAAGAGATAAATTTTGCAAAAGAATGCAATTGAGCAAAGAAAACATAAGGATAGCACATATGTCAGGGAAAGGAAATCACTGTTTTTTTGCTTCCTAGATGAAGGAAACTGGCCTGCTTTTCTTACCAAAATCATAGGACTTGTTACCTAATTATAAATTGTTTTGGTATGTTTCCATGAGTATATTGTGGCTCATATAAGATTGGTACACTTCGTCAGTCATTGTGCAGACTCTACCTTACACTGCCGGTAGGTATTGTAGGGCTAGTCAATGGTGTGTGAGCACTAAGGCTCGAATATCCACCGAACTGTGTCGTTGCTCTAGAGCCGAGCCTGGCCAGTGGTTTGTGCTAACTTGCTGAAGGCAACAGATTTTTTCAAGCAACTTCGTGGAATGTAGTAAATTCTTATCCTAAACGAAGAAAGCTCTGCCGGAGACTTTCTTGATGATAACAGCTTCCCAAGAACAGTAAAAGTAGGAAAAGTGTTTTAATCTGATTTACAAATTGTATTTATAAAATAATGTATGGCTATAGTGATTTACCTATAAATATATTAATATTTCATTAAGTTAAATCTCTAGAATTATCTAATGACATTTTATTCTTTTAGAAAATTACTTTTATGGGAAAGTCATAGATACAGAAAGGAGAGACAGAGAGCAGAGTCCATTGATTCCCTCCGTATGGGATCTCGACGTGTGAAAGGCAAGAACTTTAGCCACTAGGCTACTGCACTGGGTGCTCTTTTAGAAGATGTTAATCTATATTTATCTTAATGTTAATATATTTGCAAATTCCAAATTACTCCTAAAGTCTGATTATGGTTATGGTAAGGTTTTTCTCTATTCTGTAAACTATTTGTACACCTGTTTATACCATTCCTGCTATATATAAATTGTATTTTTGTATGTGTGCTGTTGGATGTGGCATTGGAAAGTATTAAACATTTCTGTTTTTGTGTATGTTCACGAGTTCTTGGAGTTTTAGATCTAATGTGGAAACACCAAAGGAACATGGAATTTGGTTACTTTTCATTATCAAATACTTTATTTGGAAAAAAAAAATCCAACATCTCTTACCAATCATCTTGAATGGAACAATGTACAGTTTTTCTGGCCTGATTCTGTCAATTGTAAATTCTTTCACTTTTCATCTTTGCTCATGAAAGTAAGAATTTCAGGATTTCAGGATGGCTTTATGTGAGAAGCAAAATCCTGGTTATCTTTTATGTGGACCCAAATGTGTAAAAAATACTTCGAAAAATTCTGTGGTTGCTAAGTTGGAAAATAGCCAGAGCGTCTGAGCAGGGAGAATAAAATTGTGAATACGTAAACACTGTTTCGAATTATGGCATAATCATAGGAAAAAATAATAGCTCATATTTGAAGACTTTGTATAAGACATGTTATAGGTATCAGTTATTGGATATGCATGTATAAGATATTTTATAAACACTCTTACTGCTTTAGCTGACAGGATTTGGCTCCTCATGCAGACATTTAAATCTAGAAATCTTGTTTTTGTGGTTAAGAGGTGAATATTAGTGGTTGCAGAATTAAGAGTGAAGGCTTGATTCAATTGCAGTGATTTGGAGGGAAGGCTAGCAAGTGGGAGGTCTTTGGGTCTTTGGAGCCATGCCTTTGGAAAGCGGTTCTCTTGAGAGAGTTCATTATATAAGCAGTTTTGCCAAGCCTCTCTCTTTCTTGGCTCCCCACCCGATCTTCTGCACATGCTTTACCACCACCAAATGCCAGGCCTAGGGGGCTACCCTGTTCTGGACTGAACCTTCAAACAGTGAGCCAAGTAAACCTTCCTGAATACCTTTCTCTCAGGTGTTTTAGTTCAGGTAACAAAGAATTGGTTGATACACTTATCTGTATTTTTTTTTCTTCAGGATGTCATTTTTTTAAAATATATAAGGACTTATTCACTTGAAATGCAGAGTTTACAAAGAGAGAGGGTGAATCTCCCATCTGCTGGTATACTCCCTTAATGACTGCGTCTGTTGGAGCTGGGCTACTCCAAAGCCAGGAGTCAGGAGCCTCTTCCGGTCTGCCACATGGGTGCAGGGGCCAAAGCACTTGGGTTGTCCTCTGCTGCTTTTGCAGGCCACAAGCACTGGGTCGTGAGTGGAGTGGCTGGGATTCCAGCAGGCACCCACATGGGTGGTCAGCATCACAGGCGGAGGCTTGATTTACTGTGCCATAGTGCCAACCCCTATATTCATTTGTATGGAGATTTTTATCCTCTGTAACTTTTAAAAGCGAATATTTTAGAGAATTGCTCTTTTTACCACATGAGGGAGTTTCCAGAATCCACTGGAACGTATCTGACAGCTTTTGCCTTCAATAGCCGTAGCTATGAGGTTTCTACATTTAAAGAAAATAGTTGCTACAGGCACTGTTCAGAGAATTTTCTTAACAAAAGTATTGGTCCATAGTATACTCAGTTCATTAAACATGGTCTGTAGTTATTCTGCAATTACCTTATATTTAAATAGAAACTGTGCTTTTGAAGAAGGAAGTTGGGAAGGAAATGCAGAGTGGTACTTTGTAGATGTGTTTGATTTTTATGTTCTCTGTTATATATTGATTTAGGGGATATTTTTGTGACAGAAAAATACATTCTAGCATGAATAGCTAAGTAAGTCATTTCTGATAAAAATCTATAAAGAAAACTGTCAGGGACAGATACTTGACATAGTACACAGGATGCCTGCATCCCAAATCAGAATTGTTTGGTTTGAATCTTGTCTTTTCTTCTGATCCAACTTCCTGCTGATATGCACCCTGGGAGGCAGCGGGTAATAATTCATGTAACGAAGTCCTGCTGCCCACACAGGAGTCATACCGGGCTCTGGGCTCGGGGCTTTGGCCTGGTACAGCCCCAGTTTTGTGGGCTAAATTTAGGGTTGTGAACCAACATGTGAAATGTCTGTTTTGCTCTCTCCCTTTCAAATAAAATGAAAAGAGTGAATAAAATGGGAGAACATTTAGGGTAAATGACTTTTTACCCTAAAAAAAGCAATATAGTAGATAAAGCAATATAGTTATTGAGCTTGAATTCTGAAGTAAGCTTTGCCTGAATTTAAATCATGATTCTGTTACTTCATGGCAGTATGAATCTAGATTAACTATCTAAGCTTTGTCTAACTTGGTATTCTTGTCCATAAAATTAATTTAAACATGTTACTCTCCAGGATCTTGAAGATTAAACTGAGCTCATTACATGGAACATTCTTAACACAGAATATTCAACACTATATAAGCAAATGCATAAATTCAAACTATTATTTGCTTAAATAAATTGTAACTTAATTTATAGTATGTCCATATGATTGATTATATAGTTTCAGTGATTTTTTTTTTATTTAGAAAAATCTGTAAGGCGGTTTAAGTTGATTAAACCTTTATTAAATAAATATAAAATTGGTAAAATTTTCTATGACTAGATGGTTAGTTCAAACATTAACAAAATAACATGTGAATCATCATTTTCATCTTATCTGTTTTATATTTGGCTCTGTATAAAAAGTGTGTTGTTGTGGGCCTGGCCTGATAGTCTAGTGGCTGTAACTCTTCTCCTTGCATACATCAGGATGCTATGTTTGTGCCACTTTGTGTCCCAGCTACTCTACTTCCTCTCCAGCTCCCTGCTTGTGTTTTGGAAAAGCAGTCCAGGATGGACGGTCCAAAACCTTGGGACCCTGCACCCATCTGGGAGACCTGGAAGAGGTTCCTGGCTCCTGACTTGAGATCTGCTCAGCTCAGGCCATTCTGGTCAATTGGAGAGGGAATCAGCAGATAGAAGATCTTTTTCTCTGTAAATCTGCCTTCCTAATAAAAAGAAATAAATTTTAAAAAAAAAAAGTATGTTGCCTTGACTTCTTGAAGGCAATGTAAGATGTCTGACAAAGGATGAGTTCTAGTGCTGGCATGGTGGCACAAGTTAAGTCTGCAACCCACAACACCAGCATTCTGTATTAGTGGACTGGTTTGAGTCCTGGCTGTTAAGCTTTAGATGCAGCTCCCTGCTAATGCTGTTAGAAGAGAATGGATGATGGCAAGCGTTTGGGCTCCTGCCATCCATGTGGGGAACCTAGAGGGTAAGGGGGAACCTGGGTCAGCCCGACCCATGGTGACCGTTTGGACAGTGAACCAGAGATGGAAGATTTCTTTCTCTGTCTCTCTGTTTCTCTCTGTCACTTTTACAATTAAATGAGATAAATCTATTTTAAAAGAATAGGATGAGATATAAATAAAAATTAGGGTAGAGCCCAGTTGTGCCTTATCTCAAATGATTCTACAGTCATTACAAGCCTGAGTTTTGGTTTTTTATTCTTTTTTATACAAATTGTGATGAGAATATTTATCTTTTGGAATTATAGTTGTGAGGAGTAAATGAGATAATGTTTGTGAAAGTGTTTTAGGGGGCCTTCTTTCCTCTTTGATACTGCATTCTGAAATAGTTCATCAATTTCAGTTGGGTGTGACTTTATGGCTTCAAACTAAACAGTTTTCAGTATTTGATTGTTTGTGTTTGCTTACCAACATGGCCATTTTGTGTTCTGTGTAACTAACCCTGGAGAAAAGTTAAATTTGGACCAAATATTGGTCTTATTGCAGCGCGTAGTTTTGACCATTTTAATTTGTTTTGCTAAAGTCTTTATGTTTCTGTTTAGTGGATTAATGTTAATGGTTTGTGAATTAAAGATAGAGGCTCGAAACTGGGAGGTCGGCTAAGTAGGATGCCTTTACATCACTGGAGCCATGACGTTGAAAGCTAATTCTCTTAGATTTTTTAACATGAATTTTCACTTTCTTTCTTACAGGATGTCTTCTCTGACTACAGTTTCATCCAAGTCATTGCGAGATTTCTTACCAGAAGAAAAGAAATCTGTTACTGGACATAGTTTAGGAGATCATGCTAAAAAAGTTGGTTTCAAAGGAATTGAATATTCTCAGGCATCAAAAATTGCAAGGTAATAAACTTAAACCTAATATATTTTCTATCTTAAGATATTCTGTGATGATTTTATTTTCTGGAATGCTTTTGTAAAATTTATGAGGTAAGTTTTTTAGTACATTCTTTTACACACAAAATTAAGATGTGCCTATATAATCACGCCTCTACCTTTTTCTCCCTGGAAGTAGTTTATTGAAGTACTTGGCTTTCAATAAACTAAAAAAATTTTTTTAAAGATTTATTTATTTTTATTGGAAAGGCAGATATATAGAGAGGAGGAGAGACAGAGAAGATCTTCTATCTGCTGGCTTACTCCCCAAATGACTGCAACAGCCAGTGCTGCGCCGATTTGAAGCCAAGAGCCAGGAGCTTCTTCCAGGTCTCCCACACAGGTGCAGGGCTCCAAGACTTTGGGCTGTCCTTGATTGCTTTTCCAGGCCACAAGCAGGGATGGGAAGTGGGGCTGCCAGGATTAGAACTGGTGTCCATATGGGATCCTGGCACATTCAAGGCGAGGACTTTAGTTGCTAAGCTACAGTTCCGGGCCCTAAATTGTTAACATATAGAATTTTAGAGTTGGACTGTGAATGTATAACACCCGTGAAATTATTACTAATTCTAAACCATGAAGAAAATTTTCATTATTGGACTTTTTCTCATACCCCTTTGCCCAATAAACTACTAAACTACATCTGTCACTATAGATGAGCTTCTATATTTTAAGAGTTTTATTGTCGTGAAATCACTCAGTAGTAGTTTTTTAAAAATGTGGTCCTTTACCTAGTATAATTTTAGGTCTGTACATGATAAATGTATCAATAGCTGATTCTGTTTTTTGATAGTTTTCATTATATGCATATACCAGCATCCTATCACTCTTGAATCTATTGATGGACCTTTTGGTGTTTTCAGTATTTTCTCCAGCTATTGTTGTAACCGGTTTTAAATGTCCAACATATTCTAAAAAGATGCCTCGTATTTTAAATGCTTACATGAAACATCAAAATATATCCATAATTTAAAAGAAATATAGTAATAAAAATATTTTCTACAACGTTATTTAAAATTTCTTCTTAAGCAGTTCAGAATGAAGTTTTTTTTTGAGACATTGGCCAATGTTGGAAGAGAAAAAATGCTTTAGATTATTTGAGCAAGTAATTTTTTCTTATTTCTACTACAATGATGTTGCCCAAAGATATCAATTTCAGCATGTTTTAGACAAAACATAATTTAAAATGTCAGTTGTCACCAAATATCTTGTTTTATATGAGAAATCTCTCCTCTTCTGTCACATCTCTTTTCTGCCCAAACTGCTATAAAACAAAATCCCATATAGAGTTGCAATATACAAGGCAGATAATGTGAACTTGTCTGATAAAGGAGCAGGGTCTGGCAACCGTGCTGATGTAAAATATCACTTTACCAACACTTCATAGCTCCTGGGAAAATATCAAAGTCTTCTAGCAGCATTGCTTGGAAACTATCAATTTAGATGAAATGTTGAGACATATTTTATTTTTATATCATCATTGACCTTCTTATTCAAGATTTACTTTATTTGTTTGAAAAGTAGAACAGAGATTGAGTGATGGATTTTAGCCAGTGGTTTACTTCCCAATTGGCCACAACAGCCAGATCTGCATCTGGCTGAAACCAGGAACCAGGAGCTCCTAGTAATTTCCCAGGTGGCCAGGTCCTGGTACTTGGGCCATCTTCTAATTGCCTTTCTGGGCACATTAGCAGAGAGCTGAATCAGAAACAGAGCACCTGGGTCTCAAATTGTCACTCTAACATGGGATGCTGGCTTTGCAGGCTTTCGGTTTAATCCACTTTGTCACAATGCCAGCTCCACGTAGTCTAATTTCTCAAAGAAGCTGTCGGCTCCCACTCTTTGATTCATTCTACTTTCTAGCCGTATTACTAAATGCCAACAGTTTAGGCTAGGTTAAGATATTATTAGCATCATGAACTTCCTATGTGACTTATCATGCTTGATATGTTCAATTATAAGTCATCTGATTTTGTATTTTACATTTTTGTACATCGGTCTTACCATTTCTCTTCTTTTATTTTCCTCCAGTACATTGTGCCCTGTGGGATTATTTGGTAAATGATTGAATAATTGAATTTAAATTGTAATTTTATTTCCTGTAATGTTTGTTTCTAGTTTAGTGAGTTAGGTTGTTTATATTCCTTTTATGCATCTATTTGAAGATGTGAAATTTAGGCTAATTTATGCCGTGTTTTTGTGGTTTTAGTATGAGCATATTTTGAAGAATTTCTCAGATTTCTTCAGGTGAATAACAGTCACGGAATCCTTGATACTGTATAAGCCTGTATTTTCACAGTTGATCACTAGAGTGTGCTGTAACATCAGTGCTCTGATTCTGAAAAGTGCCTTTGCAGTTAACATTGCTTTGGAGGTTTGGATTGAAGGAGTATATGATAGTTTCATGTGTCCATAGCTTGAGTGTTGGTATAAGAGTCGTTTTAAATACCTGTGGCTATAGCTGTAGTGATCCTGAGAAAGAAAACATGCAGCTTGGGTTTCACTTTATGATAGAAATCATAGAAATGCCAAGTAAGCTTTTTTGAAAAGGAAATATCAAACCTTAAAATATAAAATTAAATGGAACACCTAATATGAACACAATGTTCTACTGGTCTCTGTTAAGTTTACATAAGTGGCTTTCAGAAAGTTTGTGCGATGCATATTATGAAAAATACACATGGATTTAAACCATTTTTGTGCCAAAATAAACTTACTTTTTAATTCCACATTCCACAGATTTCCCTTATATAGAAATATGATAATACTCAGCCATAGCTTTTACTCTTGATCTTAGCCAAAAGGCTGAGAAGCGATGGTAGGCCTAGCTTTTAATGTGCTTGAAATCTGGTCTGTATATATCTAAATGCTTAGATACATATGGTTGTTAAATGACAAAACAAGAATGAAATGACATAACAGTGAAAAAAAGATCACAAAGATATATGTGTTTGCATGTCAAATGAATGTTTCAGAGAAGGAGGAATGACCATGGGCTAGAGATATCAAGAAAAATTTCATTAAAGAAGGCCAGGAGCTGTTTTAGATCATAAACATTGAAGTATTCAATTCCAAATATGTGTTTATGGTATTTATGATCATGTGCCTAGAAATAGAAACATAAAACAATTATTGATCCTTTTCCAGTTGTCTGAAGCTTTTGAACATAGGATGGAATTTTTAAAACAGGGAGAAGGGCAATATACACAGGAATTACTTGGAGTTAAAGCAAAAATACAGGAATGCTTATGGATCCTTTGGAAATAGAGGTGGCAGGGAAAGGGCCCATCTCCAGAAATCCTTCAGATCAGACATTCCTGTTTTAATTGTAGAACAGGCTCAGAAAAGGCTAGGAATGTCATTTGGAAATATAAAAATGTAGAAGAGGGGGATTTGGAAAATTTTTATTTTTGTGTTGTTACTTATGTCTTTGTCTAAATTTCGTGTGTTTCATTTTCTTTTAGATACCCTATGAGATAATTCTGGACAGGAAATATAAACTTATATTTCTGATCAGTAAAAAAACTACTTTGTGAAACAAACAAAATTATTGTATGATCTTATAGCTCTAATATTACAAAAATCTTTGTAATTAAACTGTTACAAAATTTTATTTAAAAAATGCCAATTGTATGAGCCAAAATTAGCTGCTTTCTGAAAGAATAAATTTATTAATATTAGCATTCTTTAATTTGAACCAAAAAAAGTTTGAAGCAAAACTTCTCAAAGAAGGCTAGATTTAATATGCATATTCTATTGGATGTCTGAGTCTTTGCTATTAAAATAAAACCTAATGCTTGGCCTGGTGCGATGGCTCAGTGGCTAAATTTTCACCTTTCAAGAGCGATCCCATAGGGGCTCAGTTCCTGTCCCAGCTGCTCCACTTCCTATCCAGCTCCCTGCTTATGATCTGGGAAAGCAGTGGAGGATTTCTCAAGATGTTGGAGCCCTGTGCTCATGTGGGAGGTCTAAAAGAAGCTCTAGGTTCCTGGACTTGTATTGGCTCAGCTCTGGTCTAGGACCATTTGGGGAGTGAACCAGTGGACGGAGGATTTCTCTCTGTGTCTCCCTCCCTCTCCGTAAATCTGCTGTTCTGATAAAAATTAAAAAACCTTAAAAAAAAAAAAACCCAAACCCTAATGTTGTACTTGTTTGAAAACAGACTGTTTCAATATGTATTTAATCATAGCTTAATTTTATCTAGCAACTGTTTTAAGATGAAATTTTGATAAGCTCACAGTTTTCTGGATAAATTTATATCTAATCTGATTATCCATTGAAAAAAAATCATTACTGGAAAACAATTTTAGGGCTGGAAACAAATTTGAGGTTAATTATAACACTCTAGTCCTCAAAACCTTTCTGAACTTTAGTTTCATCATACATGAAATGATGACAGTAATACTTGTTACCCAGATTTACTCTGAGGCTTCTAATAGTACATAAAAATATTTCATAAATTGTAAAACATTACATGGATATGTTTTTATACTTAAGCTCTGATTGCTTCACTTTGATATTTTATTTTCCAAGACAGTCTGTAGCTGCTGCTTGTTATTCAGAAGTTAAATAATTGATTTTATAATATTTTTGCATTTCTTTGAAGGTTTCAAAATATTTTATTTGATCCTCAGTATAACAGGAGGGTTTCTAGTACTGAAGTCATTATCAGTGTTTTGTTCCATGTTACACTTCAGTGTCCTAGAAAGCCTTTAATTTCTAGCTTTGGAATAATTTCAAACCTCCCAAGGGACTTAACCCATCAATGGAATTTGCATTTGCTCTAAGATAATTGTACCAGAATATACATTTTTTTTCTTGTTTATTGTCATTGTAGTCTGCAATCTGATCATCTCATAACAGATTTGTCACAACAGGTTTCTAACTCATTTCCTCTTCTTTTTTCTCCTTATCTAAAGTCATTCTCTGCTTCACCCTGGTGTTTCTGTTATTTTGGGTTTTAACAGGTCAGATAAAGGATCATTAAGCTTAAAGTCACAGAATACCTTTGAACTAAAAGCATGATAACAGTCTCACTTCATTTTTATTTAAGAACCTATATGTGAGAGTGTTATCAGTAATTCAAAGGAAATGGAACGTTGAAACAATGACAAGCCACAACAAATTCTGCTTTTATTTTATTTTGTATTAAGGAAAAAAAACCACCTTTGACTTTCTGTGTTAATCTTTTATTCTGAGATTACTTTTTCACAAGCAACTATGGTCCAGCTATTCTTTTGGACATTGCAATATAAAAATGAATTGAACACAGTTGTGTATCCTGAGAGACTGGGCTAGTAGTTAAGACAGATGTATAAACAATATTAATGCAGTACATGAAGCTTCATGATGGTGACTGAGGTTTTGTAAGAGGGAAGAGAAGCTAATATTCGAGCCAGTATTTAAGGAACAAGGAGACATTTGAAATAGAATACGTTCCAGATGTAGTTGAATAGTAGGAAGTAAAGGCAGCTGTGTCAAAATGGAAAACATACTTTGAGTGAAAAAAAGATCTGGATTTGAATTATCTCTCTGCAGCCTAGCAAATTTGTGAATCAGACAAATTATATAATATTCTCTGAGTCTTAGTTTCCTGATCTGTGTAATGGAATATAGGGCTTTGCTAGGATTAAATGAGGTAATCTACATGGAAGTACTATCAGTAAATTTGTATGCCCACACATCAACTCTAAAGATTTTAGCTTTCAGTGCATTCTTGTACTTTGGCCACTGTTTCTTTTTTTAACTTTCTCTGTTAAATCTCGTTATCCTCAATCTGTTCATTTTTTACTTATTGAAGAGAAGAACACTTGAGTTAGCCACTGAAATTTACAGTTCTCTTTATTTATAGAGACAAAATCCTACCTCATGCGGCTCTCCCCATCCCAGTGTCACTTCCTTAGAGAAGCTGTCGGTGTATATGGTTATGTTTGTTTGTATGGAAATCCATAGAGGGAACTGAGTTTTAACCAGTCTGTGTGTTCAGCACCTACCACAGTCCTGAGATATGACTTGTAAATATGTATAAGTGAATCAGGAAGTTAATATTTTAGGTTCTGCTGTTTACTCTGCCGCATTTTCCCTATTGCTAGAAGGCGGGGTGGGGGTTAGGTAATGTTTAAGGGCATTTGTAGCTCGGAACTTGCACCACTTACCCATTTTTTGCCATACTGTTTTTAGTTTTTCCTCTTCCCAGAATGTTTTCTAGCTACCCCTTCATACACTTCTTTATTACTATTTCTTCTCCACAAGGTTTTCTCATGTGGCTAAAACATCTTAGTTTTTATAGTCTTAATGTGTAGTCAGTAGAATTTAGATGCTATCTTGTAGTCTGCTGTGTTCTGTGATTTTATATGCTGTTTTATCATGTAGGTTGTCAACTCTAAAACCTCGTTGGGGAACTTCTGCCCTGCAGGTGGCACAAGTCCCACAAAATCTTCTGACCTAGGCCTGCCAAGGCAATGTGCATAGCACTTGAAAATTTAATAAATCTAAAGAAGGCTAATTTTTAAGCTGGTAATTTTGTATGGCCTATGGATGATGTTACAAATATTGAGTAGTCCTTGGTAGGAAAAAGGCCCCCTGTTTAGAAGATAGAGATGATATCTTGCATTCCTAGTTTCTTGAAGTATATTAGTAACCTATAAAAATTATGAATGAACTGGTTTCTTTGTATTTTTTAAAGTAGTCCTTGTGGATCATTTTTATTTCTGAAACAATGTGAAAATGTTCATACTCTTTTCCTTCTGCTTTGTTATATGTTTGACTGCTATAAGTAAATTTATAAATATTGTTAGAAAAGTGATTTTTATGCTGGTTTCCTTTATGTTTTATTGAAGATTTTTAAAATTGTAAAGATAGGCCTGATGACACATTTTAGTTTGTCTTTTTTGGCAGAAATGTGAAGTTTATTTACTGTATCTATTAATAATCAGTTACTACTAATTTACGAGAAGCTTTAATCTACACTCTGGCATTTGTTTTGCAGAGGCTCTCCCCATGGTACTCCAGGACCAGAAGGAAACCAGATATCAGATTTACCACTTCTAGACAGTCCCAAGTAAGGTCGATTTACTAGTTTTGTGGTGTGAGAAGCTAAGCTCCTGCTTAGCATTAAAAAAGCATGATAAGAAGCTAGAAAAGAGTGTAGTGCTGAGTACAATGTATTATTTGTATACTCTCTGTAACAGTTACTGCTTGGTAGTTGTATAGCTTCTGCTCCATCTCTCAGGCATTTTCCAAACTTTTCTAACACTGATTCAAGTAAAACATTAGTGTTCCTATTCTCTATTGCTCATCTCATCATTTTGCAATCTTTGCAAAAACTTCTGGGTCCCGTTGTATCATAGGTTACTGCCAGAGTATTTTGCAAGGAAGATGAATAAAACTCATTGCTCTGTTCTTTCAGTCCGTGGCTGTCTTCTTCAGTGACTGCTCCTTTAGTGGTAGCTCCGGTCACTTTTGCATCTATTGTAGAAGAAGAATTACAGCAGGAAGCAGCTCTTGTCAGAAGTCGAGAAAAACCCTTGGCTCTTATTCAGGTAAACCCATACCTGTTAGGTTTAATTTAGGGAAGAACCACACTACAGTTTGGGAAAATTATGTTTGTTTGCTTGCCATAAACTAGGCTAAGACATCTACCGATGTAAGTATAGACTGAAACTACTCAGGATAATTAATATAGAACTAATATGCTGTTATAAAACTTTCATTTATTTTACTTTGGTGTGCTTGGATTGTTTTAAAAGTAACTGATGCAAGCATTGACAGTATTTAGTGTTATTAACCTCTGGTTAAGTTAGAATTCTAAAGTTACAAGCAACAAACACCAATTCAGCCTAACTTAAGAAAAAGAATTTATTTCAGGGTTGGTAAGATTACGCAAATTCAACCAGTAGATCAGAGAGCCAGGTGTAGGGACCCATAGAGAAGTTAGATGCAAGATTTAGAAGACTTGTACAATAAGAGAAAGGATCTAATAGCATAAAACTATAGGAATGAATGAATTCCAAAATATTTTCACTTTGTTTTTCCTTCTGTTCAGGATTCAAATTCAAGAAAGGGTGGCTACAAGATGACTGTAGCTCAAGCCTCAAATTTTTTTTGGGCAAGGGAGTAGCAGTGTACCTGATTTAATTCTGCTGGCTTTGTATCCATGAGAAATAGAAGCTCCTCAAAAGCAAACTGGGAAACAAATATATCCTGCTTAGTTAATCTTTAAAAGAATAAAGCAAGTCTTTGTTTTCTTCTTTTATTCCCTCCCTCCTTTCAGGTTGAGGAGCGTGCAATACAAGATTTACTGGTTTTCTATGAGGCGTTTGGCAACCCTGATGAGTTTGTCATTGTTGAAAGGACACCGCAGGGACCACTGGCTGTACCTATGTGGAATAAGCATGGATGCTAGTTCACTGTGAAGTTAAGATGCAATTTTAATAATTGTGATTGTTATAAAGAAAGGCTATGAAAGGAATTCCTACAGATTTTGTTAACAGATCCTTCTAGATAGAATGAGCAGCATATGATGTTTGTATGATTAAAATGAAAATCAGAATTGTGATTTTGGTAAATCTTTAGGTAAAACTGTTTGAAAGGAAAATTTATTAGGTTTAAATTAAATACAGAGATGTGAGTGGAGTGTAAAATTTTAACAGTTGTATGTTAAAAATAATTTTTTTCTGAGAATTGAGTTTATTAATTTAGAAGATTTTGCAAATGCCTGTTGTCACTGTGCTTTTTAAAATATGGCATTGAAGAACTTAAATTAGGTGCATCATTTATTACTTCAGTTGGGACTATATTTCTTCTCCAGTTTGCATTAGGCAAAGGATTGCGATAGGAAGGAAGTAAGAATTCTGAATGTTCAGGACAGTTTCCAATAAGATAGTAGTTTATGGGATTTGGAGTCATTGTGTCGATTGATTTCTTGTGTGTCAATTGATTTAATTTGAAATAATCAATTTCTCATAGTATTAAAGCTTCTTAAATCTGTGATTAAATTCATATAAAAATCAAACCGTTTGGAAATGAGTTAATATATAATTGTAATTATTGTTACCTTATTGTGTAATCAAAAGCTCTCTGAGCCTGGATAATATAGAGAGGCATAAATTTTTTTTTCTTTAAAGAGTAGTGTTTTGTTTGTTTTTGTGTGTTGAACTTTTTAAAAGACAAAATTCTGTGTTCCAGTACCTAAATAAACTGGAAAGTTTAATATTCTACTTTCTGAATGGTAAAACTATGGCAAAATATGAGTAATTTACTACAGTAATTCACTTGATGGAAAAATGGCTGAAACTAATGCAGAATTTCCAGCTTTAGCCCTACTGAAAAAAATAGCAGGCATGTAAGCACATGTGCAATAAAAAATAATGTTGATCTATTTCACTCATGTGTATTTGATATACTATTTTACTCATATGCTATTTTATTGGGTAAATTAATTATTCACTCATATGCTATTTTATTGGGTAGTATATGCTTAAATTTATTCTATATACAGTCTTACATTCTCTTAAAAAGGAGAGTTTCCCAAATGCAAACTTATTTAAAGTTCTGTTTGAGTAAATTGAAGAAAAAGCAGATTTTATAATGTTTACTGAGGTTGCAGTAAAGAGGCCTTCTGAAACAACTGAATTTTTCCTTTTGGAGTTTTGATACGGCACATACTGGCATCCTTAGTATTTAAAGATAATATGAAGTAATGAATTTCTGTCTTCTCCTGAGAGGGGCTGAGGAAGCACCTTCAGGGGTCTTTGCTGATCAGGGATGTGAAGGAGGAGCAAGGTCTGACTCAGTCTGTGAGGCATTAGTCCTGTGTAAATTACAACCAGAGCAGTTGCACTTTTATGATCTGTTTTATGTAGTCTACTATTATGTAAAATTTCATTTGGACAAAAAGAACTTTTTGACTAGTAAAGTAAAAGATAAACAGTGCCATAAACTGCTTATTCATAAATGATTCCATAAAGATAGCAACATGATGCATTGACAACAGAAAAGCAAAAAAGCAATGATTTTTTTCCCCAACAATAAAATGTCTCATTCATAGCTAATCCCACAACTTCTAGGAATACCAGATAGTATTGGAGCAATCTAGAAATGACCAATTTGGTCGTGGGCTAGAGAAGTCTTTAGGATTGTCTAAAGCAACTGTAGAGCTTGGAAGTCTAGAAATGTGATGGTAGGGGGGACATTGGGTGACTGGAATATCTGAAGCAGGCTATGACTAAAATTTACATTTAAAGAGCTAGAAGATTATCTGTCAGATGAAGTCAAATTTGTTAGCAAATATTAGGGTTCAGGATTCAACCATGAACACAGTCAGTTGAAAAGGTATTGTTAGTTAATGTCTGGGTTGAAGTCTGTTTAGAGACTGGGGTAGATATATATTTATTCATTGTAAGAGGAGTGGTACAGGTTCCATAACATTTTAGATAAGAAGAAATCTGTCAACTTTATACATAATATCTGCAATTTATAAATTGAAAAAAAAGACGAATGAGAATGAAATCCTTTTTATCTGACAAATAGGAAAGCTCCTAAATATTAAACTGTTTTGGGAAAATTAGTACATTCTGGTTGGCCGGGGGCCACCTTTGGCTAGCTCAGCGTGAAGATGTCTGAGTTCTTTCTTGATCACAGCTCTGTTAGGAAGATGAAATTTCTCTTTCGAGTGACACTTCTAGTGACATTCTTGCCATTTTACAGATGGAGCCACTGACCAACATTTATTGGTTACAGAATAACTTCAATGATTCTGGTTTGAAATAAGGGGAAAGCAGAACACTCAGTAAACTGTATGACTGGCAACAATAATGAGCCATGGTCACTATTTGTTTGTACTGACAGTTGGGTGGTGTACCAAGGCATTTCATTGTGGACAGCACAGTGACAAGTAGGACAAGGGTGTATTCATTTAGAGTTCTCTCTTGAAACAATTTATGTGTCAACAAATGTGGGAATAGCTACATGAGTGTGGGAAGTATGTATTCAAGTTAAAGACCTCTGACCCAGGGACACTGGAGTAGTAGACACCTGACTAAAGTCCTTGCCCTAGTCCTGACCCAAGGGGCTGACTTTTCCCTGTGTTTGCATAACAAGAATCGATGTAACAGTGCCAAAGTGACATGAAATACTGTGGAGGGAGCAGGATTGCTCCCAAGATGATGTGTGACTTTGTATCTTCTGCCTGTAATTTACTGCCTGGCTCACACAGAAATGGAGAGACCAAGCCACTAACCTGTGCACGACTCACAGAGTGAGTACCACGCTCTTTGGCCAAGCAATGCGGGACACAAATGCAAAAGGACATGAAAACTGTGTGTAAAAGCTGTATTAAATAAAAACATATATAGGTCTCCGAATTCCTCTGTGCCAAAATAAGGTTTTAATTTCCTTTTTGCTAGGAACTTTTAGACATACCCTTGTATACTTTAACCTGGATAGACTGAGCTACTGATAACTGTGCAAGTCATGCCTGACGAGAGAGTTAGCTAAACTGCCATCATTAGAGATCCCAATGTTAAGTGTGCTGTAACAGAAGCCTTGCAGCATTCATGACTAGAGTATCCATTTTATAGGCTTGTTTCTCCAACAATAGGTTCAAACACTTGATATATTGTGATACTTTCATCTGCTTCATAATTCCCACGCATCAGTCAAGTTGGTAGAGAAAATTAAGGGCCTGTTGAAGTAACAAATACAGGCCCTATTAGCTAAACCCAACTGCTTGCTGTGATGTACTCCTTGGAGGAGTTTAATAAATTTGAATATTGGCATGCCTTGCCATTGTGAGAATCTAACAGCCCCAGACACAATGCATTTAAGCTGTACATCCACAAAACAATGATGCCCCAATTGGCCTGTGGCAGCATTGCTGTTTGCTGGTTTTCCTGTAATGTGTATTTTATTTACTTGAAAGGCAGGCAACAGAGAAAGAGAGGGTGGTTTACTCCTTTCACATCTACAGTAGCGAAGGGTGGGACAGGGCAGGCCAAAGCTGGGAGTCTGAAACTCCTTTAGCGTTTCCACAGGGTAGCAGGGGTCCAAACATCTCTTTCTGCTACCTCCCAAAATGTGTTAGTAAGAAGCTGAACTGGAAGTGGAGGAGCCGAGACCAGAACTCATGATATAGAATGTGGATGTTAGAGGTAATGATAAAATTGTTTGGTTGAAACTGAATCATGAATTTCAAGTTATGGTCAACTTGATCCACTGCACCATGTAGTTCAGTATAATGACCCAGTCTTAAAATTCTGGGAAATAATAAGGTCTGGAATATTATAAAACTGTTTTATGGAAGCAGATGTAGTATAGATCCTTGAGCTGCAGCTTGGGACGCCTGCCTCCTGTGTGATAGTGCTCATTCTGGCTTTCTTGCATTAAATTTATTTTCATTTAATTAAACTTATTTTTATTTAATTTTTAGAGCAATGAGGATTTTGTAACTGTTGCTTTTCCTATAAAATGTTTTCTTGGTGCATATAAGCTCAATTAAATCATTTGAGGACCAAAAATAAGTTTAAACTGATCAACCCATTGCACTTTATTGACACAAGGGAAAAAACATTGAAGTTTTAAGAACTCTCATATTCATTTTATTTCCAGCTAGCAAAATGGAAACACCAGTAAGCTGGAAAGAGAAGCTGAATTTTCCTTTTCCTTCTAAGAATAACAGCAGTGACCATCCCAGGTTTGCTGGTTCCACTCATACTATTATTGTAAAATAGGATAGTGTATTTGGCTCACTTCACAACCCTACTTAAAATGGGAGACTTTTAGGAAAAGGACATTTGGTATGATTTCAGTTTGGATATATGTGCCAGACTGTCTGAAACTACCACCATCATCATCATCACTCTAATTACTACGCATATGTTTAAATGGCTGTTCTAGGGAGGGTAGAATTTAAGGTCAGGGAATACAAAGTGTGGGGACTATGGGAAGTTATTTTTAGCCTAAGAGTGGCAGAAATAATACAATATAGTGCTGTAACAGCCATGTAGAAATACAGGTAACAACTACTAGAATTAAAGCAGGTTACTTAGATTTAAAGAAAATCAAATTTATGTTTTCAGTGAAAAATTAACATTTATTTTGCATTAGTTAGAGATCCTCAAACAATCCTTTGAACTTTTCAAAATAGTGCATCTTCAGAGTGAATATTGGACTTATAAGATTTTTGTTCTCTTTTTGCTCTCAGTTTGTTGTGTTGTAAAACTTATTATACAGTTTCCAAATTTTTAGGGAATATATAAATATATTTTACAAATATACCACTAAATTTACAAAATGAAATATTACTGTAATTAGTAAGGTGCTATAAAAATGAACTAATTTGTAGATTTTTTAATTTTGTAAAACCATAACACTTGGTACCACATCAAAATTAGGAAGTTCACAGAATTAGCAAAGCATTTAAAGCAGGGCAAAATATGTATGAGCTCAGTACAGGGATCCCTACAGTTTAGGTCATGGAATGCCAATTAGGGATGCTGATATTTATACTTTCTTATATTTAGCTGAATGTCTCTATGGTTAATTTTAGAAATGCTGGATTAAAGATTTCTCTTTTTAGGAAATCTCGTAAACTTTAATATGCACACACTAAAAACAATGGAATTTTACAACATGCTTTATTTTAAAAGTTACACTAAATTAATTTTACCAGTGGAGGAAAAAGAATACAAATACGAAATTCTTTGGTGAATGGGACAATTCTCTGTTTTAATTGTGGTGGTAGTTGAAAATATGTGTGGTATAAAATTTCATGGACCAAAATGCACATACATACAAATAGATATAGTTTAAAAATTAGGCTAACCCAAGAAAGGGAGGAGCCCAGATCAGGCTAGGTTATGGCACCCATGGACTTACCTTTGGCTCAGGTCTGAGGAAAGAGAGGCTAGGCCAGTTCATACCACCTACTGGTAAATCTGAGAGCCAGAATGGTGTATGGTACATGCCAGGTCAGGCAACAGTGCCAGCCAGTTCATATGAGGGCGGGGACTGAGGGCTGACTGGGCTGGCTAGGCTGTAGTCCCTACCTGTGTGAGCTGGAATTGGTGGTTGGCTGGGCTGGGCCAGGCTACAGCACCCACTGACAGATGCCGAGGTGAGGCGGGCCATACAGCCAGACTGGCCCATAGCACCCAACCAGCACATGTAAGTAAGACCCAGGAGAGAGTTGGCAAACCTGGTAGCAGGGGCTGCAGGGAGATCTGTTGCTGGCCCATTATTCCCACTGGTGAACATGAGAGCTGTTATTGGGGCCGACCAAGCTAGACAGTGCTACACCTGTGGGCCTGCATGTAAGCTGAACTGGGGAAAGCCAGGCTGGGTTGATTGTACCTACATGCATAAATCAGAGTGGGTAGGGATTGG